AAAGGGGGGGGGGGGGAAGGGGAGGGGTTGAAACGAATCCGCGCGAAACGCAAGTAGCACTTTCCGAAGGGTTTCATTCAACCAACAATTCGCGTTTTCTTTACAATATATTTGTACTAGGCAACACTTTGGCTGTGCTCACCTTTCCACATTGAGGGAGAAGTTCCTCTTTCAGCTTCATCCCCTCGCTCTTTCCCCTTAATATAGCACAGGGTATGCTCTAACTTATACGGATGTGATACTTAATTGTTATTAACGTTTTTCTTCGCTACAGTAGCGCGCACGCGCGCAGGGAATGAAGCGAATCCGTGAGAATGATTACACGTCGTTTTGCGAAGAGAGCGATCGCGCAACAGTCGATGCGTGTGCTCGTCCGCTGATAGCCGAACGAAAGCGAGCTCGAGTTACGGCGAATCGTCGCACAATTGCGCGGCACCGTAATCGTGAACGTGATACCGTCGTCCTTGTTAAGTCCGTCTGCGAATTCGTTATCGAATCATCCGTCGAAGAATGACGGAGAAGATGAGCATCGTCGAGCCGAATTTACCGTGTGACGTCATCGAGGCGATTCAATACGGGGACTATTAAGGCCCGTATTAAACGAATAAATTAATAGCTCGAAACTTGTCTCACGCGAGACGCTCGGGTCTGAAATTAGAGTTAGATCTGAGTCTTCGTATTCCCGTACGAGCGGTTTGTTCATTGTCACATTAATTCGACCAATATTTCTCCCCGTTTGACGTTTCTTTCGCGATATTTCACTTAATTCCCGGCTCCGCGACAACTGAACTCTTGCATCTCTTTCAAAGTGTCACATTTCGCAAAGCGATATACATTTATGTCGGAATTGACGAGAAATGTTCTCCACTCGTACGCTCCAAAACGTATCTCGCGAAAAGCCCGTTTTATTCTCGAGGAGGAGATTGCTCGGAAAACCGCCTCGGCACTTTGTCGCTGATAAAAGAAGAAGAGAAGAGAAAGAATCCACGAGAGCAACGAAAGCAAAATAACGTCCTGCGCTCCACCGGCTTCTGGGATTCCGCTCGCCGGCGGATACAAACGCGGCGCGGTATAAACGGGATCGACAAAGTGACAAGTAATCACAAAAATACGAAATTCATGTTCTCGCGTGTGTATTATACTCGCGACAGCCGAATTCGGCGCGATCGCGCTAAGTATCACAAGATCCATTGTGAATACTGTAACTCGCTACTTTTGTCCCGGTGATTATTATTCGTTTCGCGTGTTCAGCCGAATTCTCGTCTATTACAAAAATGTCCATATACATATATATATTTTACAATACTGATACAGGACTGATTCGGCCAAGTAGCACTAATCGAAAAATATGAAACATTTTCTACCGCACGCACTCGCACATACACACTCTCTCACGTACACGCATACACACAAGCAATTTATTTCCGTGTTAAAAATCGTTTGGAACAATCGAGGTATGTATATCGTGAGAAATAGAAAGGAAGAAGGAAAGGCTGAAAATCAACGTCGTTCTCGGGAAACACGGAAAGAACGTAATAACGCATTTTACACGTGAACAAATGATCTCGCTGTGCGTACACGGTAGTATCACATACACACACACACACACGCATACATACACCGACCTACAATCGTCGAACAGGGTCCAGATATCCAGCCGCTTATGGACAGCACGCATTCCTGCGCATTTGTAATTTTGTAATTTGTACACTTTGCAGAATGTCGAGGTGTATTGCGACGCGGAATGTCGTCCGCGCCGAACGCGGCGACGAACTTCGCGGTAGTTTCGCCGGCGCGGGCTGAAACTCTTTCGTCGGATTTCGCGAAGGTTCTTCGCGTGTACCCTTGTAGCCGCTGTGTTCTGTGTCGGGGGAGGGTGTCGTTGGTACAAGAAACGTTAACTTATTATTATTTACACACGCCCTATGACTCCTCTTCGCTGATCTAATCTCGATTTAGCCCTAGGACCGACTAGAAACCGAACGAGCTCGGTGTTTGTTTTTCGAAACTGGACAGATCGAGAGAAGCGATTACGCGAAATCGACGGTTGTAAGATACTCCTCTTGCGGAACACGCAAGACGCCCGACTTGCGTTCGAGGGCTGATACGACGGACCACAAAAGGAAAAGCAGAGTCCGTCGTTTCGATATTTAGTGCAAATATTTGATCCATTGATCCAGCAGGCCGTTCGTGAATACTTAGCATTCTCGCAAGTTACACATCGTAGCGAGCAAGACGCTACTTTAAGAACGAAATTGTTATGTAAAATTTCGAGCTACTTCAAATGATACATGTGGCGCTCGACCGTCAATTATACATCGCTCGTTGCATGTGAACATTACATTGCGACATAGACGCGTGCATACGCAAGAAACGATATTCAACGAAACACAGGTCGACACAGTTCTTGTAAGAAGAGAGAGAGTAAAAAAAAAACAATATAAATGTTTCATATATTTATTATAAAACAGTGAATAAAAGTTGCATTTTAATTTCAGCAGGTATATAAAATTTTTTTTTTAAGATATTTTATACAACATACATGTTTTTTTTATGTACTGGAAAGTTTGTATAATTCTGAGCATCTTACGAATTACAATACACGTTCAACAATCATCCTTTTTTTTTTCGTTTTGTGCAAGATACTGCAACAATACATCTAGACAGTCCTAGGGTTAAACGAATTTTTAATTGACATAATCATTTTGCCGTTCTGAAGCCTGCTCAGATTTCTTCTTTTTTTTTTTAGATATGTAGAGAGAATGTACCGGTAGTGTCACGTAAGGAGATTACTTAGTAATGAATTACAAAGAGAGTATACCTACGTAGGTAAAATCGCGGTGTGTGTTTGTGATTTGAGCCTAATTTCATTTGACTTTAGGTCCTTCTTCAGGTATATACGAATGACAGGCGATCTCTTTGAGTTTCAGCAGTCTTCATACGCATTAACTCCGTATTCACGAGATTGACAACAAAAGCTAACAATAAATGATAACACATTATGCAAGTACACGAAGGTTAAAAAGTGGAGCCTTTGAGAGAGAGTGCGTTGAAAAAAATAACGAGGCTATAGCAGCAGCACGTATTCGCTGAAGTTACCTTCTCTCTCTCTCTCTCTTTTCTTCTTTCTCGTTTTCTTTCCCCAGCTACTGCTCGACTGTTGCAAATACGAAAACCACCCATTTCTCTCGCCTCACTCGCGTCAAAACGTCGGGAAATCCTTCGTGGAGAAAGTGCGAAGCACGAACAAGACAGAATTACGTGTGATTGAATGCGCTGTTTTATCTTACTCTTTCTTTTTTTTTCGTTTTTTTCTCTTTCGAAGCTGCTTTACGTTCACACTGAAGTATCGATGCGACAAGGTGGTAGTTTACGAGGTGTCGGTTTATAGATCTGTAGCAAAATAAATAAAAACGAGGTTCTCTTAAGCTAGTAAATACTACAGTATCTTTGTATTGTGTACACTTTAACTAGCCAGTGCGTTTTGCGTGTATCCTGACCCTCTGATTAACCTTCCTGTCTATGTAGCACACCTTACCACGCATTCTAAGGCATGAACTTCCTAGTGAGCTGGATAAGAGAGAGCATAGACCAGTGTGCCAGGTACTTATGTGTTAACATTCTTTTTTTTCTTCTTCATCCTCTTCATCGTCGTCTTCTTCTTTCTCTTTCCTCTTCTTATTTTTCTTCATTCTTTTCTCTTCCTCTCTTCTTTTTTTTCTCTTCTTCACTGCCGCGCGCGTAGCTAGATATACATTATATTATTAGAAAGTATATTACTATTGTATTTAAAAAATCGCTTTCTTCCGCTCTTTCGACTTTACACTCTATATCAAGATTCTTATTTCTTCCTTTTCTTCTCTCTCTCTCTCTCTCTCTCTCTCTCTCCCCGCAGAGACTGTATCTATAAAAACCGTTTGCAAAACGTTCCGTGTTAGAAAGCAAAGAAATAAATTGAACTTCTTGAGTGGCTATGTGTGTCTGTGTATACTAAACAATAACTTAACCCATCGCACGAATAACTTTCAACCTCTCTCATTCGCTCTCTCCCTCACACTCTCTTTCTCACATTCATACTTTAATAATCTCCTTTAAGATCTTCGTTAATTAATATCGCGATAAGTATCTTCGGTAAAAATTGAAGCGACACGCCCCTTTCTAATTTTTCTCTCTCTCTTTCCGAATTGCTAATTGTAATCCCAATGTGTAACGTAACGCCAATTTCGAGTTTAGAAATCGATAACCATCCTACGCTCGAACGAACATTTCACGTGTATGCCGACATGTTCTGACAGTCGTTCGCTGCCGAAGTTATTCGTGGATGGCTTAATATCAGGACTCTGATATTACAACATATGCATACTGTCGCTTGCATAAGACGCAGATGATGTATTTCCCGAAATAATGATCCGCGTTTATACAAAAAAAAAAAGAAAAAAAAAAACATACACGCACACCTGTATTCCGTGCCAGATTAGGGAGCCGTTTTTTTTTCTTCCGTTTTTCCTATGCACATCTGATACCACACTGGCGAAAGCACACGTCGCGTCACTTCAATCAATATTTATAATATTATCACTCATCGTTTCTCAAATGTACTCGATACATATCCATCTTGTGTCGTTGGGCTCATTCTGTCATACATTCGTCAACCTGTCACTGCGTGTTGTGTTGGTTGTACATATTCAGATTACAATCTAACGTAACGTAAAATAAAGCGAAGATATATCGCAGCCCTGTGGCGTGGTCGTCGATAAGGGACGGAGTAACGACAAGAACGCGAGTGCGACGCGCCCGGAAATATCAAGCCTTCAATCTCACTTTCAATTAAACAAATCAAATCAAAATCCACGTCTATGTTCGATTAAAAGAAATTTAAATAAGCATCTCACATCAAATCCAAGTTCGTGGCAACCGATTGTCCGCAATGGCATCACACTACAAGCAAAACGTTCTCGCGAGACCGTCCCCGTGAGAGGAAGACGCACAGGGATGCGATAATTTTCCAGTTCTTCGTACAATAATAGTTTGAGAATATTTTTAGCGTACAAGTAATAATACAAAACGATACAAATTCTAACAAATGATCCACCCCTCTCTCTCTCTCTCTCTCTTCCTCTGCCTTCTCTGTCATTATTTAATCGAATTACTTCAAACGATAGAGATTTAATGAAAACATCATAGACGGGCAGCGATGTATATACATATGCGTATATATACGTACACATGCCGTTTACATGTGTATACATATATATACCGTGCACACGTGCTCTTTTCCTTTGTATCATCCGTATAATTTCGTTTTATTCCAACAATCAAATTTAATACTTCTTCTTTTTTTTGTCGTCTTGAACATTTATCCGTGTATACAAAACTAAAGTCGTTTAGCACACTTTAGCACTAAATTTAGAATACACAATTTCATTAGTCTTTTTCCCTGTAGAACACAATGTTCATTCCTAAACGTTGTCGTTTGTTTTCTTTTTGTTTTTTTTTCTTTAGTTATCACAAATTATTGTTCCTCGTATTTATTATTGTTTCGAACATTATAACGGAGCTCAGATGCCTTCCAATACTTTTTTTCTTTCGCTTTTTCTTCCTTTTATATATCAATGCAATCATCGCGACTCTTTTAATTACACAATCCACGATGCCCGCAGCGCGATCGCCGGGGGGNTTCTCCTCTTTGTTCGGTAACTTTTTTTTTTTCCTTTCTTTCATCGGTGTATATTTGCCTTTATGTCGAAGTAAATCACTTTCTACCTACATGTGTGTGTGTGGTCGTTAAAAAAAAATATATATATATATGTGTATATATATGTACATATACATATACATATTTATATATATATGCATTATATATATATGTATACATATATGTGTGTATGTCTACTAATCGGGCTTATAGGTGTAACACCGCAGGGTAAAGAGTGGGACTATGGATTTGGAGGAGGTGTGGTCGGTGTTGTATGCGCGGAGGGTGATGCACTCGCGACCATCGTCGGACTGGCCGGCTGTTGCAATGGCAGGAACGCTGATCCCAAGCTAGGTTTCAATTGGAATGGTACGCACGGCTTTGGGCAATAGTCTAGTTTGCTCAAATCTTTGGGCCGCCTACGCACACAACATATACACATATGTACTCGTACACCAAACAGCATCATTTAAACGGTAGGTAGTAGTCGTTAAGATACATGTATTAACAGACACATAATATATATATATATTAATGTCCACGTTACCTCGCTTCTTCCACGAATTTGAGGTTGACTTTCTCACAGCCATCGGGTGGTTCCCTCGCCAGGAACCTGTTAATGTGAGGGGAGGTGCCGAGACGTCCTTCTCTGTCTTGTTCAGGCGTTGAACCGCGGCTTCCGCCTACAAATGAAAGAGCAACGTTAGGCGGCACGTATTCGTGGAAAGAAAAAAAAAAACGACTTGTTTGAACGTGTGTGTGTATGTGTGTATTGTCGATGATCAAGATATATATAACGGAGATTCATGCCATTCACTATTTTTAATAAATACTTGCGTGAATATATGTAAACAGGTTTATGTAAAATGGGGGGAGGGAGTGATACGTGTGTGGCGCGCGTTTGTATTGCGACGAAAATAAATGGATAAAAGTCGAGAAATTGTCTCTCTTCATGCTACATTTAGTAACATTTAATAACAGCAAAGATACAGATATGGGAAACGCATGTGTGGATAATAAAATGCGTATAATATTCCTGTTTCTTTCCGCGTGCTGTAAAGGAACGATTGCGCAATGGATAAAATAAAACGATTTTAAATAAACGAACGCGACATGGGCGAAAAAATAACAAAGATAAATCTATTGAGGCGCTTCTTCTCTAAGACTGTGAATTCATTGCGGTGTCGTCATGCATATCTTCCGAAACACGGATGTTTCGGTTTTTGTGATACAACAGGCACATTTTAATATGCCGACAGCGACATTAATAGCGATGAAAAGAACATCTGAAGAATGAGGAAGAACGCAGTTCAATGATGTACATAAAACATTCATGGACAATAGCGGACTCATGCATCTAGTTCAAGAATACGTATATATACACGAGTATCTAGTTTACCTATTGTTTACTTAATATAGGCTGTATATCTAACGTGATATGCGTGTTATTGATGGCGAAAAGTTTCGATAAGGTCTTGAATATGCAATATCGACACAATGTGACTGCAAAAATTCATGAGCACAAATTTCTTTGTCTGTCAACGATTATATCTCTCTTCGAACGGCGGTCTTTTAGGAATCGGATAATATCATGCATACACGAGACGAATAGATATATATCCTACAATGTATCTCGGTAAATAAAAATATGCGAACTGTACTTATTTACGTATGTAACAGGTAATACGTATAGGTCATTCAATACGGAATACCAATTAACAGCAAAGTCGAGGGGGGATTAAAGACAAACAAATTTGTTAAATGAGACTCGTGAGGACGAGAAAAAAAAAAGTCAAATCTTTCCGCAAGTGTATGCTCCAACCTTGTAAGAGATCGCTAGGCGGACGGGACGCATCCATAAGACCAGGAATCAGCGGAGACTCAGAATTCCTAGATGGAGGGCCTGTCTCAACAGGCGCACACCTTTGGTTAGTGTGTTATTTATACTATCATACGCGCGTTAACCAGAAATAAAAATTAGCCAGAAAATATATATCTATATGTGTACATATATATATATATATATATATATATCGGTGAACAACCGTAATGACTATGTAAGAGGAGTAAAAACTGACTTGACATTATTAGGATTAAATGGCACTAGAATATCCGTACTTGGCTCTTAATAGCCCGATATTGATAATTTACTTCCCATCGGAAACCTGATAATTTAAAATTGAGTAAAAACTGAAAATGTAAAAGAAAATCTCCTCAGTTGAAATCGTAAAATCACCTTGAGGGAAAATCGAGTTAAAATATTACACGTCTTTCGTTTGTCTCGAGTAACTTACAATGACTCGTCGTAGTACAGTCGACAACATGTGTATACTGATACCTTTTCCTACATGAAAAATTACACAATTTTCAGCCATATATACACAAAGTGTTATTTTTTTGCTTAAACAATCTGGTTATTCTCAGAATTTAACAAAAAATGTCACTCTTGTTCACTATTTTTTTATTCCGATAATTAAACAGTAGCGCTGTAGAGCCATTATAATCCTATCATTACATATTGTAAACTAACTAGAATTACTCCTGCCTGAATTTTCAACTTTACGGATTATGTGTAAAGCTGAAAATCGTGTGATTCTCCATCTAAGGAGTGGTGCAGCATACACAACGCCGACTGAACGTCGGATAGCTGAGAGAGTTACGTCAGTGCCAAGAGAAGAAGTCAATTTTCCGATTTTCAAGATCGATTCTGAAAATTCTCCCGCGAAAAGGTTTTCTTTTCGTGCACTCCCGATTTATTTTTACGACACAGAAACATCGCTTTTCCGCTTGTACCGTCAATAACGGAATAAAGGAAGATACAATCTCCAGACTAAACGCGACAATTTTGGATTTCGATATCTCAATTGCTGCCTAGCAATCGTTCGAGAGGGTTTATCGGGCTTAACGGTTGCGAACCCCTCTTGCGTCACACATGTAATAAACCATCGTGATTACCAGGTGGGAACTAAGCGTATGCGCGGCCGCGCGACTTACCTGACGAATAAGAACTGGAGGGAAGGTCGGTAGCCGGCGTTTGTGTGTTAACACTTCGGGTGGCCCGCAATAGGTCCGCTAAAGGAGCGCGATGTCCTTCAGGTGTGATTTGTTCGCGATATCGTGCATACTAAAAAAAAATCACATACACAACGATCACACACACACATCGACAGAATATCGATTTGTCGTACGATAGATAGCTGAGAGAGAAGAAGGAATCCTGCCTTCTATTTGCAAGCAACAGTTCATACTCGTCGACAAATTGCCTCTTCGCGTCTCAAAATGAAAATGCCGCGTTAATAATAATAATAATAATAATAATAATAATAATAATAATAATAATAACAACAACAACACTGAGGAAAGTTCTACCTTGTCTTCTACTGGATGGTCTGCGTCGCTAGTATTGGCTACAGATTTGAGCACGAGTCCTTCGATCTCCTGGTTCAATCCCTCGATGGACGAACGCATTGGAGGCCTGATCGGTTTCATCGGGATATTCATGGGGCTCGCTTTTGTACTCAAACTAAACTGATTGTCTGCAAGCACACGCGACGGATATTAGACGCACGGCGTTCAATCGATCCCCGGCGCGCGGGACGAACGCAGCTCTCTCTCTCTTTCTCTCTCTTTCTTTCCGCTGGGTTTACTCACGCATGGATGTCTGTGAAGCAATACTGGGCAAAAGTACTGAGTGATCTCCGGGAAGTGCGGGCGGCGGGCCACCCGGCATGATTAATCCAAATGCCGCTGTCCGTTCTCTACTGCTGGTGCCTTCTTTGTTTGTACGTTGTAATCTATGATAAAAAATGCATCGAGAGGTACAACATATAAAGGCGTCCTGACAACGGATTATGATGGGTGCTCCTCCAACAAGAAACACCACATTTGTGTACACGGCAACCTGAAATCTAACTAAGCAGCATCCGTGATCTACGTTTGCACGCTGGCGATAATCTAATCTCCGTGCTGTAACTACCAGTGTTACAGTTTACATCCCAGACAGTACAACGTTTAAAATCGGGGCATAACCTTTCAGACGTCTTAGAGACATCTTATGTTCCCGATTTTAGACGTTATGCTGTCTGGGATGTCATGCATTGTAATATAATTATTTACACGGCATGTAACATCGATAGTCGCACCGGCGGAAATCATTAAACTGGTTCTAACTACTGCTGTTCACGTAAACGTGGATTACGGAAGTTACTAAGGGCCAGTCTCACAGCAACCTCCGATTAACTCAAACCGTCGATTATTTCACTGGAATTGACCAGAAACAACCAATCACGATTGACACTTAACTGATCAGTTAAGTTAATCAGAGCTTGCGAGACTGGTCATAAATCGGTTTAAAGTTCTCGTAGTGAACGTAGTCTAGACGACACAATGTGACACAAACGCCTTCCTATGATACAACACGACACAGCAACAGAGCAGAGTTGAACATTTGCGTTAGTATTATGGCTCTGCCAACTCTTTAGTAATTTTTTATATTATTTTTTAGCAGCATTGTAATAACAAAGTAGCAGTTGACATTCTACAACATTTATATTCTGCCAAACAACAAATATATTTGTGTGATAAATAAAAGTTATAATTGACGATAAAGCTACTAGCATTTTCTCTTGAAATAGATTTGAATCGTTCCAGGAACGATTAGTGACGTTTTAAGTTCTGTAATTGGTTAGTAGAGACTTGTGATGTTACTAATTGTTCCTGGTCCTGAGCGACCAAGACCCGCTTCATTCGAAAACGTTATACACTAACATCTAGTATATCATCGCCAACTAACGACTGTTTCGAAAATTAAGCAGTTCCATCAAGCTTTCATACACTCTGTGTTCTCAATTATGTGGCACGGTGTCTCCCTGTGTTTCCTTATTGGAAGGCACCCTACGTAACAGTCAGAAGGTACAGTTGACGATAAGAACACTCACCGATGCCTGAAGTACTTTTCCAATTTCTCATCTGTGGTAGTTTGGTCTGTGGGATGACGAGGGTGCATCTTTCTTGGTTCGTTGGACCATTCTTCCGTCTGCAACGAAGATGAAAGTCGTTAGATCAAGCAGATCGCCAAGTCACTCGGTGAAACCACCAACTAGAGTAACGTTACATCAATGTTATCAATTTCTCACTCGGCGATGTTAACGTTGTTACATGGAACACATTGCGCTCACATTGTCGAGTGAGAAGTTGTAACATCGATGTAACGTTACCGCTAGCTGGGTGTTTACTGAGAAATTTCACGCGAATGATAAACGTGCTAGTTCTCTCTTCGTTTTGAGACACGACACACGTTGATTACGATTGGTTTCCTGCGGGCTTCCCCACGGACGCGTCCGGGAACACAGGATGCTCTCACCTGAGTGGACTTGTCCACCAGGAGAAGACTGGAATGCAGATAATAAGAGTCACGTGGCCACTGTCCCTTCAAATAGATGGTATCCAGCGACGCTGTCCGTCGAATGCTTTGGCTTCCGCTCAAGCTATCGCTGCAACGGCCGCTCAACGTTTTTGATTTGGCTGCAAAGCACAAGAACGTTGAATCAATCGGACCAACGGCGGCGCAAAAGTGCGCCATTCTAAGATAAACAAAGCTACATGGTATAATATCGTGTGGTAAGTGAAGTACGCATATACCAGACCGAGCTATGAGAATTGTTTTCGGTTGCTGGACCGACTCTGAAAGAGCGTGTTTCTGTGAGAGATAAAACGACGATAGAGAGGAGGCGTAAACAATAAGCTCGCGCACGGTGTAACCGAACTAAAAATGTCTTCTTCGGTTACTGTGATCGTGTGGACATGTATACGTGACATGTGTGACGAGGATGCCGATGTGTGGAGGTGTGATTGTGGTGATCGAGGCTCCCTGTAGTGACTCCACCGCGCTCACGAAGACGTGACATCGTGTAGAGTGTGCGTGATTGCGATACAAACAACCTGAGGGGCAAGAAAGAATCCATCGAGTATCAGTCACCGATGGAGAAGTCCAGTCACACACGTGTGTACCGCAATGATGCGCAGAGAGGTGCCAGAATGACACAGTACGAATGAGTTGCCGAATACTTACGAGTGAGCACGGATTTTGCAACGAGCAACCGTAAGTAACGAGTACTCGAGGGTAAACGGAACAACACAACGTTTTTCCGAGTCAACGTGCGATCATCAACGCGACACATGGACTTGCCCCGTCCTCGCTCCTCCTCTCTGTTCCTCACGTCGAGCAAGCGAGAGATCTCGGATCGAACAACGGGCACACTCACACACACAATCAACAAATCGTCCCGCAAATAAATAATCCTGACTGCGCAAAGTGTTATACCCCATGTCTCCGTGCGACACATGGAAAAGAGCGCCGGGCCAGCCAGCTCCTACGTACCTCCGACAAGTAGCGACACAAGACACCCCACGGTTTCCCACGGGGAGAGAGAATGGCTTAACTCTCTCTCCCGCAAAATGTTAACCTCGCACCGAGCACTCGCCGATTCGGTCCTTACATACCTCCTGGGGAAGCACGATCCCGAGGAACAATCCCCTCGATTCCGCGCTTCCAGCACAAGCGGCGGTATCGGTCGGACCCATTTCGCGGATACCCAGAATCATCACTGGGGGCTGATCGGTTCGCCCACGGCGATGAGTACCCCAGTGCCCGGTGGGAGGTCACGCGCGCGCGACAATGTATCAAGGGTACGTACTTGTCTCTCTCTCTCTCTATCTACTTCTCTCTCTCTTTCACTCTCGCTCTCTCTCTCTCTCTCTCTCTCGCTAGCGCTCTTTCTCTCTCCCGTTCGCTTGTTCTCCCTCTTTCTTTCTTTCTTTCTTTCTTTCTCACTCACTCACTCACTCACTCACGCACACACTCTCTCTCTCTCTCTCTTTTACACCGGGTGAGAGCGATCGGGGATTCCACGAGCAGCACAAAGAACGAGCGCCCGCGGCACGACGGTGGCGGCGACGTACCTTTATAGGACAGGGACCCGGGGCTCCGCTGTCCCGAGGAAGACGACGTCTCCGGCGAGATGCGCGCCCGCCAGGCCGCCGCGTTCGTCGGCGAGACGGTGGGACTGTTGCTGTTGCTTTTTCGCAGGCTGCTTCCTTGCCGGCTCTGCCTGAGCAGCGAGCTCACGGGCAGGGTGGCGCGCATCGGGCCCTGCTTCGAGCATGGCGAGGACTTTCGCATACGCTGCGAGCTCGACATCTTCCTCTCTCTCTCTCACTCGCGCTCTCGCCCTCACGCGGCGTGCGAGCGGCGCCGGCGAGCGATTCGCGGCTCCGCGGAGCGGACGCGCGCACCTGGCGGCTTCCTCTTGCCCGAAAAGAGCCGCTCTCTCTCTCTCTCTCTCTTTCTCTTTCTCAGGGCGCGGGAGCACCGACGAAGTCGCGAGCGCGCACTGACTAACGACCACGGCGATCTTGGGAGGACGCCCGTCGCGGCGTCCCGACGCGGAGGACTCGCTGTGCGCGGCCACCGACGAGATTTTCACCGACTACCGGAAGGATTCACTCAGCGAGGTCGACGACGGCGGCAGCGGCGGCGGCGGCGGTGACGGCGGCGGCGGCAGCAGCGGCGACGGCGGCGCGACGACAATGCCCTACGCGTCTTGTCATTTGCAATGTTCTGCTGCTGCTGGCTGGCTCGGCACGCGCGTCACGTGACCGCCCGTACTCGTCGGCCATTGGTGGGCGCGCCAGTGCCCGCGGAGCGTCGTACTACGCGAGGACGTGCGGCACACCGCGTTCCATTCACTACCACCGTAGCACGCAGCACTGTGGCCGCCAGTGTGTGGTGGTAGCTAGCGTCCTTTCGGCGTCTCGCTCCCACTCGTGCGCTCAGCCCGTCCTTCTCCCGCACGTGAGCGTGCGCGCGCGCGCTCAGGAACGTACCAACTATGCGTGGGCGATCGCGCGACGACGACGGCGTTCGTCGGTCCTCGAATTCGGTCGAGACGCTTCGGTGGCTGAGATAACTTGTAATACTTATATATATATGCACATATTTAAGGACTTATATCTATCTCCTTCTATTACCTGTATATCTCTCTATTGAATTAATTAATATGAAAGTAGCATTCATAAGAAAATAAAATACATTTGTATTTGTGATATTACGTATATGTCTATTTCAAATTCGTTTTAAATTAATATTTATTATTTAAATAATAAAATAAGTATACAAGAACGTAATTTCGCTTGATAAATACTAAATTTACGAGGGGCCCCCTTGACGCGCCACTGAAAATACGGCACTGATGGGCAACATATCCTTAATGGGGAGACTCCGTGAGATTTCGAAGGTTTTAGTTTTGCCTCGAACGCCTTGTTGTCAGTGTCATTGTTAAGTTGGATATATACTGTGTGAGCGAATAGCGAGTGTATAAAATTTCGCGTCTAAGCGCACGAATTTTCTTTGATGAACCACGGATTATGAGCAAATCGGCCTGAAACATTCTGTTCGGATTTGTCATGGCATATATTTTCCAAATTGTATACGTAAAAAAAAGTTTGCTAGAAAGGAAACAGAATTTCCGGTTATAAGAACCAAATTTGGAACATAAGAACCAGAAATTCTGTTTCCTTCAATCAAAATACGTTCGGTGTGCTCACTAACTCTGGTAAATTCCACCAAATTTTTTTTCGAGTGTAACAACGAAAGTTTACATTCGCTATTCGTTTCTCGCCCAGTGTACACTCAGCTTTACATGGCACAGGGAACACGTGTTTCTTTTGCGAAACTGTAATTTGCATCTCGCGACGAAGTGTCTTCGGGAACGTTTGGAACATCTAGAAAGATGAGCCCCGTCCGAACGATTATGTACGATTTTGCAAAAATCTCCAAATTTTGCAAAGAAAAATATACAACTATCGGTCGATCGAGATACACTTGATAATGGACGTCCCGACATTCGGCAACGAGGAAATTGGGAAAGTTCAAATCTAACAGTTGGATGACTCGTGACGTGAAAAACCTGTTTCGCGGAATTTCGGAGTCAAATTCTTCGTGTGCAAAAATACTTTACGCAATTTCCACGCCGCAAAACTTCACGATCGTTCGCGAAGTCGCCGCGGCACTCGTAATCGCAATCACGTGGTGCAACGCATACAATGACGCATAATTAAGTCACAAGCTTCAGAAATAAAGTATGTATCACGTACGCGCAAATCGAAAACTAGTTGAATAAATTGTGCTCTTCTCTCTTTCTCTCGTCAATACCACCTATCGATGCCAACGATCGACGGGAACGTCACAGGGCGTTCGTGTACCTGCCCGCCTTGCTATAAAGCCGCATCACTAAAGAATGGCACACTTTTATCCTCAGTGAATCAAGCTCTTATATGTTTATTTACAATATATATTTTATGTTACAGCATGTAGTCACGGGAGATACACAGAAATATTACAGCTACATTATATGTAATAATAATAATAATAATAATAATAATATAAAATGACGTATGACTAGATTAAACAATATCAAAAAATACAAACAAGGATTATCAGTCTGAATTTGGATGGTATCGATGGCTGAATCATTTTCCTGCACAAAGGGAGAAAAGAGAAAACGCGAATGCCGAGGAAGTTTCGTACACGATTACCCACGGTGTCTCGACTCGCTCGGTTCACCCGAGAATCGAGAAGCTTAGCTCCTAGAATCTCTCAGACTTCAAACGGAACCGCGTCCACGTTGCAACCGATTCGTGAAATTAGGCTGGACCTATGATAAGTGTAATAAGCCTTCTGTCTTCGCAAAGTTCGAACGTAATTTCTAGCGCTACCGGACTTCGCAATTTCTAAGATCCGAACGTTATTACGATTTTCGGCAGCGCGGAAAATACCTTTCCTGTAAACATCCGGCGGTAACATTACATCAACGTCGAGTGGGAAACTATAACATTGTTGTAACGTTGCTGTGTTGGTTTGTGCTTACTGAATTTTGTCAGAAATCACGTTACATTTTATCGCTCAGAGCAAAGGGCCGAAGACTCACACTACGTCTGTTGTAGATCCGGAAACTTAGCGTTTCCACTGGTGACTCTGTGGACGACACGTTGCATAACGAATGGAATCCAAAATTCTCGAGTGCAGGTCCCTCGCTAGTAATGGGCTCTGCGACGTTAACACGTTCGATACCAGCGTCACACATATATGAGAAACAGCAAACATTTTCTCCCATGTCCACATTACCAAAAACTAAAACTGTTTTCCATAAGAAGAAAAAAAACCAAGTAGTCTGTGGGGAGAATCTCCCAAATATACCTGGACAGCGAACGTGTTAATCGTGGACCTGCTTGCATCATAAAACCCTCTTTCACAATATCCGTAAGTATACGGCGGTAAAGATCGTTCTACAATAACGTAAACGTAGTCGTAAGTAGTTGTAAAATAAGTCGTAAGACGCAGTTGTAAACTACTACTGCCGGTTGTAAAGTGTGTTGTGAAAGATGGTCGAACTTCATCTTTCACGACTACGGCAGCCTAAGACGCAGGAGCCAGTCAATCAGAGAGCTGTGTTATGGAAATGAGTGTGATGATAACTGCGATCGTTTGCCGTAATTAAGTTACGACATATCTTTACTCCGTACGTACGCGTAGTCTGTTATGTAACATTCGCTATTACTACTATTACTACTATTTCCACATCTACGTTTACGCTATTGTAGACGATCCTTAAGACGCGGTCGTAAGGGCCGTTCCGGCGTAGTAGGCCGTAAAATAAGATCGTAAGCGAATTAAAATTGATTCATTACACTTACGATGTTGCGTCACGACCTGCTACACCGGAACGAGGGTGCTCTACAGCCGCGTCTTACAGATTTACAGCCGCACTCCTGTCACGGACATTTCAGGACACGAGCTTATGCGACCCGCGTCGTGCGCCTTCGCTTCTCGTCACTTTGACCACTTTGGCCATCGCGCTGACGACACTCGTATTTATTTACGTCCCCCGGAGTCACGGTATTCGCCCGACGACGACTTCTTCGTCTTCCCGTCTTATCGCGAATCGAGCCAGAAAAGCACGATCCTCTGCCGTCGAGAATCTTCGGGGAGAGTCACCGACATAGGCGTGGGCGGCCAAAGCGTCGAAAGCGCGCGTGGCTCGCGAACCGAACGCCAAAGAAAGCTATACAATCAATCACCGTAGTACATAAACCGTATCTTCTCAATAAAGGCACTGTCATGCTTTTCGCGCGCGCTAAGGACTATAACGTGATAATGCGTCTCGTGGTACTGTGACTCGTCTGTGTGTTTCGCACATACATACAAGCAATATGCAACGTAGCCTACGGTAAGATCACTCTGCGAAGCAGTTCATGAGGAATGTTGTGATCCGCGATACAGCCCGGAAAATGAAAGTTATCGGAGTTACTATTACTAAGGGACTATTGCGTTTCCTGCGACGACACGACTTGCGCGACTCACTGTTGTCCATCTGTGCGCCTCAACTTGAATCCCACAGATGATTTTTCTGAACGCGTCTCTTTTTTTACCAGCACGTGGATGTCTCTCTCTCTCTCTCTCTCTCTCTCTCTCTCGTCATACTGAAACGACTGACGAGTGATTCTGTACTCAGAAAAAAAAATGTAGTCGCAGCAACTACATGAATTTCGCAGAATTAACGTGTATAGTTTAATAAACTATTTTATAATGACTGCAACTAAATCAGACTGCATAGAGAAAGAAAGAATTACCTAAAAACTAGCTGTTTATATAACACAACTGAAATTCAATTACTATACTAACTTTTTAGATATGGAAACTAATTTTTATGACTATAGTTGTACACGGAAAAAAATTTAGCTAGTCTTTAGCTATGGGAGCTAATTCGTTTTTTTCGCGTGGTATATAAACTATAGTACTCGACGACCATAATTATTGTAACCATTCAGATCTAGTTGCAATAACGATAAAATGGATTATTAAACTACACGCATTAATTCTACATACAAAATTCGTCCAGTTGTGACCCATGTTACTATCCCCTTCCCCCTCCTGCCCGCCGAGTGTGGGAAATGCAAACTGCACAGTCTATATAAGAAAAATAAGATGGCATATAAACAGTCGGTTGCGATTACGTGTGCAAAGGTCGCGTGAGTATACGAATATCACGTGAGAGAGAAAGAACTTCTCGCGTTCAAGTTGAACGAAACGGAGGACCGCAAGCCGTAATGCACGTGTATAAGTTTATCGCCTTCGCGGTCGAGCGGTAAGTATCAAAGAATAAGTAGATATGCATCATGATGATATCACTAACACTTTTCACGATTACAACCATGGTCTTCAAAACGGCCGTTAAATACCCGCGGGGTGTATAAGGAAGTGACGATTGCGCGATACGGTAAATCCTGTTTGCTGACATTTCCGTGCCAGTCCCGTTCGTGTGATTTATTCGGTAATTCAAGCTCCGAATAAGGTATCGTCATAAAACATGTCTCTCAACAATGAGAAGTCGCGTGTGCACGATAAAATTTACAAAAATTCGGATATCGCGTCGTCGTCGTGACAGCGGGCGATTCGATCGCGACGAGTAATTCCGCGTCATAGGCCTCCTGAGAAGTGCATTTCGCTGCCATTATCGAGAGAATCATGTTTTACAGATTTCAATTTCGAAGATACTTGTACAAAGAAACCATGTTGCCAATTTTATAAAGATTTATGATAATACTGAAAAAATATATGTACAATTCTTAATATACCTCCTAGTTATCCGCCTAGTTATCTTACACTAACTGTATAATTTACGCCTTGCTTAATTAATTAAAAAAGATCACGTAGTGCCGAAGTCGAGTAACCAAATTTCTTGTCCGTTGGGAAAACAAGAAACCTCCTGCGAGTTTACCCCGTAGTAAATGCCTCAAGACACGTGAATCAAAGAGAGAATTAAAATAAAAAATAAAGTAGGAGTCGGGAGAAGAGAGAAATAAAAAAAAAAAAAAGAGAACGAAAAATCCAGTCCTTTCGGATTACGCCGAGTAAATCGACAGATGTCGAATCGAATACGAGAAACGACAATATAGAACGAATCTAGCAAGTGTGGAGAGAGAACTGTTGAAAAGTACAGAAAGTTTCAAATTTGATAAAACGTCCGTACAATCTCAAGATCAAGATTTCGGATGATCTATTTACATGTGTGATCGATTTGCGTTACGAGAAAATTCATATTCCATCGTGACGATGATGTAAATGAACATGGAACGGTTGTGTGTGTGTGTGTGTGTGTGTGTGTGTGTAATTTCTATGCAACAACATTATATAGCCGCGAATAGTGATTCGATGCCTCCTTGTATTCAATCGGATCGAGCTAATTAAAAGGTTTTATCTGAGATAAGACAAGGCCAGCCTTTTTAATTCTATTTTTTTAATTAGCCCGTTCATATTCCATCGGGCGAAGGTTTGCCCGATGGAATACAAACGGGCTTTGGATTTCAATCTTATCTTCGGAGCCCGTGCTTTAGCGAGTCGAAAACATCGGACTCCGGATGTGTGTGTGTGTGTGTGTGTGTGTGTGTGTGTGTGTGTGTGTGTGTGTGTGTGTGTGTGTGTGTCAATAGAAAATAAACGAATTCAGTAACAAAAGGCACATAATAAACTTTGACAAAACCAGGAGGAGGGACCGAATCCTCGCCCGCGACATATTATTATTAGTCAGTGACAACGGAGCTATTTTTTTTCCTTTCCACGCACTTCAAACGATTAAATGTTAATCACGCGATGACTTAAACGGTCATAAAGTATCAAAGTATACGTACAGTAAGTACTGAGCATCTGTTTTGTATAGCACGGTTAATCCGTCGCACGTTCGCAATGCACACCTACGCGAGGAACGAGAGAGAAAGTGTGGGGGTGAACACAAATAGTTAAATAAAAATGGAAATTTCGGTGATAAAGGCGAGGCGTAAATCGTAATGCGACGGTAATGCAGCAACGTCGCGTAAACCGAAACTCAACTCTTCTCTCCTTCGTTATCACCACATCTCGCCACGCTTCTTTTCGTCACGCAATTTACAAACTATATATAAAAAATTTATAAAAAAAAACATAGACATCATACTTGTCACAGAGTTACGCAACGTTACGTAACTAACGAAGTTCCACAGAAGAAGAAACCCGAATAAATAATTCTAAATTAGATTGACACATTTGGTAATGCTCGCGATGGACTTTCTCTCCATTCGCGATCGAATTTTGACGCTCAAACGAGCAACGATCCCTATTGATTCTCTTACCAGTACCTGTATTTCTTTATACAATCATTGCCGAGGTCCACCACCACCAGATGATTGTCCGGTAGCACAGCTATGCCCGCAGGACGTCGCAATTTCGAGCTGTGAGAGTCGATCTCGGTTAAGATATTGCCCCCGCCTAGCTTCAACACTTGTATTATGCTGCGACCCTTGTCGGTGCGGGTACCGAGTATCTTGCCCTCCGTGTCTGTGGCTATCCCACCGTAAATGCCTTTTCCTGTCGTACACATCGGTCAATCAGACACATGATCGTTCATAACGTCCATCTGATATTTCGATTTAGCATTTAAACACTAAATACGCGACTGCCTTGTTCCGCTGTAACTCACCTTTCCCCTCGGAATATATTTCTTCGGAGAAATCTCCCTTCGCGGAAAACACCTGAATCCTACTGTCGGCAACTAAAATCTCACCGTCCGGACCGACAGTGACGGAACTGATCAGCTTGAACGTGCCTCTCTTACCGACCTGTTGAAGTTTCGTAATTATTATACGAAGGTCGCTATATTTGAAACGACGATTCACATGTCTCAAAGAAATCGAAATGACGCGGAGACACTCAGTGTATGAATAAAGAAATGTCGATTAACCTGAAATAGTATCTTGCCGTCTGAGTCAAACACGAACACGCAGCTTTGACCATTGTCAGCGACGAGTATGTGCCCGTAACTCTTGTCCACCGCAATGTCTATCGGTTCCTGGAAGAAGACAGTGTCTCGTAATTAAGAATTGCTTCTGCCATTAGTTCCTTAACTGCTGCGGCAAAGAGCGGCACAAATTACTAACTTGAAACGCGTTGTGCGAAAAGGATCGGATTGTGTCGCCTAACGAAGTCATCTCCGTAATCGTTCGCGTCCGCCAGTTAACGACCACGAGACCCTGCTGAGAAATACCTATCCCCGTGCAACTGCGGCCCTCCAGGCCTTCGTTGTTGATGTGTCTTTGAAACTCCAAGTCACAATTGAGTACCTGAAGCGATCGAAACACAAAATTTGGACAATTCGAGAAAATTACGTCGCCGTGTAAAAACCAAAAAAGTAGATACATATTTTTGGAGAATTGGAGAAAGTTATTAGATGAAAAAGTAAAGAGAATTTTAGAGAATTAGAAAAAAAATTACTGTATAAAGATAGATAGATATCTTGGTTTAAGATGGTACTATTTTAGTCCTTCAAGAGAAATATCGCACGATATATATTGGATACGCTAATTATCGTGTTTCTTGCTCACGCACTTTGATGCGAGAATTCCCAGTATCCAGAATGAAGATCATCCCTTCGTCATCCACAGCGACCGAGACCGGCTGGTGGAATTCGTCCTTCCCGTTACCGCGTCTCCCGTACACCTTGATCGGTTCATTGTGCTCGGTCGCGTCAAAGAACAACGGATAGTCCTTGATCGGACGCTCAAACACCGACACCTTCAAGACGTATCGGCTCGCGGTCGGCGGGCGGAAGTAGATCTCATAAGTTCCGTTCTCCAGGTCCTTCACCTCCGTCTCGATGGGAGAGCTTTGATTTTCCGCATGAATGTTGTCCGCGGGCGTCAGCTCGGCACCGATAAGATCGCCGCCGACGTTGCGTGGATGACCGTGATAATCCACCGTCTCGACTAGGACGGTCGCTTGTAGCTTCACTATCGCTAGATCTTTCAGCCTGGCCCGACACAGACCTACCGTAAGACACGAAGAAGACATGCACGAAATGTATACGTTGCAAAATTAATTTAACGAAAAGGCTCTCTAGATAATCATTTTAACAGAAATGGCCAATAAAAGCCAGTGCAGGGAAGTTGTAGCGCATAATAAGGGAATTTATTTTTACATACACGATAGGCCATTTTGACGTCCCCAACTAAATATCTTCTTTCCTTCACCTTGTACGAAAAAAATATTTCGAACGTTTCAAACAAAATATTCAGTTTTTATTCAAATATGACACACTGTATACTTTATAAATCATGATTGCGCTACAACTTCCATACGTAGACCCTTCCAGGCCGTTCTCATTTCTGTTACGACGAATATACATTGCGTCGTGAAAGTTCTCACGATATCTGATCCGTCACCGTAGACACTGAGTTCCGTCACCCATGAAGGCGAATCGAAACGAAGCACGCGTTTCCGCATTCCATCACTCGTATTGGAAGTAGCAGCCGACCGTGATATTTATCGACTGTCTATATTGCGCAACTTTCCATTACTGATGTCATAACTCGACACAGTGACGGATCAGATGACTTGATGCTTAATGTTATCGTTTCACGTAATGACGGATCAAATGACTTAATCGCTTCACGTTGCGTGATCGCGCGGCGCGATATCGTTTCAAACAATGAACGGGTGTGCGGCCGCGATCTAAAGCGAGTATATTTTACTGTACAATCAATCCTCAGGGTACCTGGCAATGTTGTACTAGAACGTACTCGTCCTAAGTTGTTCAGTGCTTGCTCCAACTGCGCGAGAGCGTCGTTGTGATTGAATTCGAACGTGATGAAGGCGTTCTCCTTGGGTTCGCTGAGGGCAGTCGCCGCATCGAGCTGATCCGACAGGCTGTTTATACGTTGAGTAATGTTCCGGACCTCGACCTTAAAGATCGGATGTCCCATTGTAGAAGTCGTTTTCAGGAAAGTAAGAACTGAGATACAATGAAAGAAACAGGAAGCGTTTCTTCGCACGTCCACGGCTCCCTCTGCTTTATTATTACCCTCTACCTGATATTGCAGTCCTTCGCATTCCCTCTCCACCTTGCTCTTCTCCGCCTCGATGAGAGAGTGCTGTTCCTCGAGCACGTGCTTCTTGTCGCGCGCGGCGGCGCTCACAGCAGCCTGCAGCTCGGACCGGCGTCTCTCTATCTTGGCGATGATCTCCGCGAACTCCGTGTCCACCGCGTTCAAACATCTCTCCGTGGAGGCCTCCAAACGCTGCAGTTCCGTGCTCACGGAATCTTGTGCCTGTGTTAACTAAATGGCGCAACTCTTAACTCACTAACGAGAGAGCGAGGTCTCGCGCTACGATCCTGGCCAGACCGTCCGGTTAAAAAGAGGAACTAATTTTCACCTTGGATATACACTCGTTGGCTTTGTACAGCAATATCTCGGACATCCGTTTGATCGCGATGCTGAACGGGATGATGGTGTGTTCCGTGCATCCCGGTGATGTTCCCGCGTGGGTCCCGCCTGTACACACTGTACAAAACACCGTGTCGCAAGTTTCGCAAAATAACAATTCCTGATTAATATGAACTGAACACTTTGGGATGACCTGCAAAATGACGAGCGGAAGTGGCGAATATTAGGAATGTTATTTCAACGAGGGTTGATCTGATATTGGACGACGCTTCGCTTAACTGTACCTCTCGTCTCTGCCGGGACATGAGGTCCAGAAGTTGGTTCACGAGAAAACTCGGCGGCAGCGCGGACACCCCTCCACGGGGGATTGTTATTAATTCTCTACAAATGGGGCATCTGAACGCCCCCGTTTCCCGCGTCTGCGACGCGGCAATTCTTGTCAGACAATGCAGGCATACCTGCAACGAATTAACAGACGTGTACATTAATAATAATAATAATAATAACAATCACATCTTATTAACAAAGTACACCTTTAGTATACAAAAAGGTATAATTTCGTCAATAAACAGACATGTGAATAAACAGACAATGAAAAATAACAAGTATTTATTCACCTAAAAAAGAAGACATCACATAAGAGTTCTAGGTAGCTCATACATTGAGCCTTGTTAAATCGAGTAACTCTGAGTATGTAATGAAATTGTTATAGAAATTATAAACAAAAGATAAGTGAAAATATAAGTCTTTGCTGCAAAGCATAATCAGTATCATAAGAACGGTGGGTATCATGACAAGTGATAACTGGCAAAGTGAAGGAAACTATGCTGAATCCGCTCAGTCAGGTTGCACGGATTTTTTCGGTATTAATATAATGTACACAAAGTACACGTGTGATTTATCAAAATGATATACATATAGTGTGTTATTTCACACATGTGAACCATACCGTATGTGAACATGGTAACAATTTAGGTGTGTGCTCACTGCCATCGTAAACGCAGAGACAAGTGCCGCATGTTAAGAAACTCTCATTGAAATCTTCATAATTTATGCTGACTGTCTCCACGAGCATTGAACTCATGCTGACCATCCTCTCCCCGAGCCGCGTCCTGGAAGAGAAGAAAACTAATCAGTAAAGACCAAAATCATCCACAGACAGGAGAATATTGAAAAATAATATCCGAACAGATGCAACAAAACACATAAAAATAGAAATAATATGAAAGCAAAATTAAAGATAAACATTTACTATTATAATTTCTCATACATATTATTTGCCTTAGGAATACTTATATATTAGACTTACATTCGTATACCTTATTACACACATAAATTTATAAATTTCAAGAGTATATAATATTATAATAATATTTTAAATACATATCCAAGGGAGAGGGGGAGGAGACACTTCTCAATTTTTCGCTGCGAAGAAAACTTACTTAAAACAATAATACGCCGTATAAATTATTTCGCACGCGCACGTGCGCGATTAAACGCGCTGTGCATAACAAAAGCAACGCACACTCTTATCCGCCGTAAAAGAGACACTCACTGTATAGCCAGACGCAGAGCCTCCATAATGGTTGTATCCTGGCCGCCGCTCTATCTATTTAACGCACGTTTTATCATCCGTGCGACCACACACGCACATACACACACACTCAGACCGTTCTACGCTTTACGGGGATGCTCCGCGGAAATCCCGAAGAACCCAACACCACAAAGTGCATCTCGCGTCGCTCTCCCCCTCTCTCTTTCTCTATCCCCCTGTCTGGAGCGTCACCCCCGCGCTGTCGTCAAGTCACGGAGGAAGACGCAACGTCGCGAGCGAATTGCGATAGACAACCCCGCTGACTCGGCGACCTCGTCGGACGGGGAGAGCAGTCGTCGCTCTCAGGTCGCGCCAAGAGCGCGACGTCGTCCCTCCTGCGCTAACGGCCGCGCGTCTCCCCGTGCGAGAGCGTATAAATAAATGCAGCCGGGATGGACGGGTAAGGCACTGGCAGCCGTCGGTCGGTCGGTCCGTCCGCCGGAGGATCCGCGAGAGTCCGGCCGCCCTTTGTTCTACCGTCGCTCCTCCTCACGGTCCATTGTTCGGACACGCGCGAGAGAGAGAGCGGGTCTATTGGGCCACGCGTCCACCAATTCCGCGGGCTGCATCACCGATTAATTTAGCGGCGGTTCCCCCTTGTCGAGATAGGCCCCGATCTCCCCGGCAACGAGGCCTCTCGCGCGCTACCGAAGACGACGAGGACGACGGGGATGACGCGCGTCAACAACGCGGCTCACGGGCCCGACGACGTCGAGTCTCGAAGCGGCGCATCTTTCGGAACGGAACACACATACACAGCACGACGCGGCGGGCCGCATCAGCTGCGGAGCGCGACTCTCGCGACTCGTCGCGTTCGTACCAGCTGAGCCGCTGCGCGTGGCTGCGCGCACGTTCGCCGCCCGCGGCTGCCGGCGCCGACGACAGTGACGTAGCGCGCGTGGGTGTCACGACCGAGCGGAATTCTCCCCGAAACCCCATTCCCTCGCGGCCGTCTCTCTTCGAGCACGCGGAGATCCACGGTTGTGTCTCGGTTTCGACTCGCCCGTCACGGACTCGCATTCCGCGGCAACGGGGAGTTTCGTGATGCACCGTGATCCCGATACAATCCCCGTTTTAATTGCGATTTAATTTGGACTTAATTACGCTCTCCACGGATGCGAACTCTCGTGATTTATCGCGTCGTACGCTCCTGGGAATCGGTCGCGATGCCGCGGCGCCAGCTGCGCGAGAGACTGAATCGCGGCGGTCCGAACGTGAGGGAGGAAGGGGGAAGGGGGAGATCGAGAAAGAGAAGAGAGAGAGTGAGAGAGAAAGAAGCAGGCCACGCACGGTGAATGCAAAAGCAACGGCATAAAGAAACACACGCGTACACGTACGGCCGTGTAGACCGGCGAATTCTCTACTGCGCAGTCGTCCCAAAAGGTGCAGCGACCAGCGTGTTGCGCTCAACTTGTAATCAGCGTGTGTGTGCACACACACACATAGAGTCGTGCGCAGTCTCCCCGAGTTCACAACGTTAGGCCAGATTATTAATTAATGTGGAGTCGTTCGTCAAACAGACGCGAGAGAGAGAAAGAGAAAAAGGTAGCGTTATTTATTTATTTAGCGCTCTGGGAAAAAAGCTTCCCCCACACAGAAGAAAGTTTTGTGTTAGAAAAAATCCATTGTAATTTCGTGTTAATTTATTATTACATTTGTGTACTTTTTAACACCTTCCTCATGTTAAAGTGACACGAAATTGAAGTGGACCGGTTTTAACGCCCAATTTTTTACTTTATAAAACGTAAAGAAAGAAAAGTAAAGTTTACCGTAATGTTGCGAATGAGAGGCATGAAAGTAAATGTAAAGTGTACAGTTGGTACTTACATAAAAGGGCAGCAGCTCATGAAGCTTCCTTTGAAATAGCAGATCCCCGGTTACTTCTAAAAGCACAGTCCGAATTGTCGTCAGCCAAGAATGATTTCACACGGTCATATTTCCACTCATTCGCTCCGTTTGCTCCGCTGCGTCCGCGAATGGCGTTGATAATGCAGCCCGTTGATAATTCGATCCCTCGAATTTCCGGTATCTGCAGAGGCTACCTGAACAAAATACGATTTACGTCAGAACTTGTCTCGCCAGAAGAGGGGTCAGTCTTATTTTATCATTCGCGCGATTAACATACACGCGCACGATACTGTATTAGGCAATTTTTGGCATGACTCAGGTACAGCAACCAAAGTGTGCCAAACTGTGCCAGAATGTTTCGCGTGTTTGGTAGTTTGTGCACTCTTGTTCTCTCTAGCACTCTTTTTTCTGCGTCTATTTAATTCCTTTGTTCCTTATTCCGTTCATTTATATCTTTATATATTCCGCGTCTGAGCCCTGATAGTCGCGGTACATGCACCAGAGTAAGCTCTACCCCTACCAATGGCAACCTTGGTACATGTACCAAAGGATCGTAAAAAAAACGCCAAATAAGAACGCCCTCACTGCGTGAAACGTCTGTGTGCATATGATTATACTGAGGGTGTGTGTGCAATAGTCTTAGTTTTTTTTTTTTCCGGAAACTTTCACTTTATTTTCATACGCAAGTTCGAAAGAATAGAACTTTTGCGCACACCCCTACGGCATAAGATATTTTTCGAATATTCCGCTTTTTTGCCCGCGTCTTAAATCAATCGTCGCATTAATTGGACGGATACATTGTCGATCGATCACGCGAGCATGTTTTCGCACACATTTTCTCGGGACGCCTCCGCATAAATCATTGCACGAGAAACCTCGGCTATCTTAATTGCGCCACATTATCGTTTCATATCGGCACGCGTCAGGCCGCTAATGAAACGGCGCGCGATTTTACGCGTGGAAACTTTCTCAGACTTCGTGTCCAATCGCGCGCTTTTGTTATCTCGCATGTAACAAAGATCTCCCGAAGCTTCCACCTGAGGTCGATACTGCGCCGTCGGTGCGACGCGAATACACATGTACACACATACGCGCACGCTCTCACGTGCGAGAGGGGGACGTAAACAGCCGGGAGTGCAACGTAAACACAGAAACCGACGAGTGGAAGCGCCGTCGTTCCCGAGGAGGAACCACGGAAAAAAAAGCAATGCTGGAATCAAATAAATGTAATTACGCGTTTTTCATCCTCTCGAGTCGAGTTATATTTTTATCAATTTCAGCGAAATTTAACAGATTAAAGGAAATACTTGAACGCGGTAATATCTTAATTCGCAAACGAATTACTGAATGAAAGTGTAAAATGGTTTCGCATCTAGGAATATTCACTGGAATTGTGTAATATTTCTTTACCATTGAAGAAACCTGATTTTAAATTTCAATTTTTCATTGTTCGGTAAATGTTTTCCAGCTAGAAATAAATTCTGATATTCTCAGTACTGCGATTTTAATACTCGTCGGAATTGTTTCAACGCATACAAGTGAATGTTTACTGATACGAAGAAAATTTATACAATTATTCCTACTTTTAGTAAATATTTGTCAAAGTGTATCGGAGTGACCATTTTATTTGAATCAAGTAAATATTACTTGAATTGCAGCACTTTTTTCAGTATATCAATGCACGCTACCGAAGCTCTATGAGAAAGAGAGAGAAAGAGAGAAAGAGAGATTATCTCGTCCGCGGTGACACGTCGTCGGTGCATTAACCCCTCTGGCCGGAGTCTGTGCCGAAGTAAACAATGCGAGTACGTTCCCACGAGCGAAACACCTGACGCATTCTCGCACTTTATCTGCAAACAAGTGAATTTAACAACGCACAATGTAACTCTCCGATTGATCAGGCGGCGTATTCTTGAAGCACGCGTGCGACAATATCGCAGCGTGTCTTCTCACTATTCGCGTCTCCGTGTTTCCGACCGAACGAAAGAGAGGGGAGAGACAGAGAGAGAGAGAGAGAGAAAGAAAGACAGACCGAGCCCCAAGGGTGGATCGAACCCCTACGCTCTTCGACTTTACGGCTTCCTCGTCGCCGCAGCGTTCGCTCGTTCGGCGCACAAGGGGAATATTTTCTCGCAAATTCCTCGACGAGATCCTCGCATCCGCAGCTTCACGCGCGGATCTGTCACACGTCTGAACACCAATCACGCACATACACACACATACGCAGAAATTCCACACAGCGCGTCGACGAGACGGGAAAACGGACGCACAAAGAGAGCGGATCGTCTTTCAGCACGACCGGTCTTTCTTCGGTCGGGGTTGCGATACAAAGCACAGAATCGGGGAACGCGACACGAAATTCGAATTTCCGCCGGGAGGACTCTCACGCAGGAGATGGACGCGGAGGATACTCACTGGAGGATTCTGAGGACGACGTCGTTCCCGCGTTTACGACGCTGCACATCACACACGATCCAGCCGGCTCCGAGGGGACTCACAACAGGAGCCGTCGTTCCGTCCAAGACATGATCGCGCGATCTCCCCGTGGATTCTCTCGGCTCTCTGTCCGTCTCAGGACGGTGCAAGGAGACGAGGATATCGATCTCGAGGGCTGCAGCAGGTGTCACGGCACCAGCTGTCGTCGTTCACACTGCAAGGCGGCGACCACGACGATCCGGCTGACAACGACGGCGATGACGACGACGACGACGCAACGGCAACGACGCGGAGAGAGAGGAGAGAAAGAGAGGGAGAGACGTGTGTGTGTTAAAGCCCGTCGCGCAGCGAAGCGGGGATGAAAACACACCCTCGGGAGCGCGAGCCGCGCGCACGCGCGCGTCGCGCAATTTGGGTCACGCGGCGCGCGCTGCCGCCGCGACGTCGACTGGGAGCAACGATACCAGCAGAAGACGCGGCCGCACGGAAGAATAGGCGGTGGGAATGCACAACGCGCAGAGGAATCACGTACGGTCAGTCACATAGTTACCGGTTGTAATTTTTTTCGTTTTTTTCGATAAGTTTTGCGACGCATCTCGTGTTCAAGGTATTTTCTGAGAATGATTAAGAGATGAATTCTCTTATTAAACGCGGGATATTTTCCGAAGTTTGCGGAAAAAGTGTTGCAAACGTCCTGTGTTGTATGTATACGTGCACTCAGCGCATTGGCTCTTTTCGGAGCTAACCGTTTGCCAAATGTTGGACGACGATTAGCCAAGCAATTTGTACTGCTCGGGAATTTGTAATATCTCGGCTAACATTGAAAATATCCAAAATCTGTGAAAGACTTTTCGATTCGAGTTTTTTGTAGAAATACGCGATTTTTTATGATTCATGTATATGAGCGGGTCATTAGCGTATAAATTTGCCGATAAAAAAAACAGTCTTGTGTTAAAAACGGAGTTACAGAGCTGGAAATTGATGTTGGCAATACTTCTTATTATTCGTCGATTAACTTCATTGGAATTTGGTGAAAGTCACCCTTGATCGGTCGCGAGTCGAACAGCAATGGAGATTTCAGATTGCTGTTCACGCAAAGGTACCTGCCTAGATCTTCTTCAACGCTCGAGGGGAGATTCCACGGGTCTCTTTTGCATCTCAAGGACGGGCATGGACGTTGCTTCTCAAACGGATCATCGGGTAACTCCGGGAGTAGAGCGGCCTCGACGATGGCCATCGACGATCCGCATATCCTCGGCCTAAATCCTCGAAGACGTCGTGAGTCCGGCCGCGCATCGATCCTCTCTACTGGCGATCGCGTGCTCCTCTCACATCGTGCAATCGCCGATACCGCACGTCCATCGCGCCACGTTTCTCTTATCTGCCTCTCGGCGCGTTATCTTCGCGCGCGAAATCCACCACCTGCCGCCCGGCGGCAGCTTACGACGCTGCGACGTTCATACCCTTGAAGCGCGTTGAATCGCACTCGAACGCGAGCATGCGCCACTCGAAGTAGGTCATTGGGAGCTTGACCGAAATCTTCGGCCAAGATTTCGCGCCTGTTACTTCTTTCGCCGATCGTTAGCCGCCGAGATCACGGCGCATGGCTTGTCCCCGTCGCGGCCGCGCTATGCAATAGCAGTGTTGGGGTAAATTTTTTATTTAACTTGATTTAAATGAGTTTAACTTTTAACTTAAATCAGTCAATTTAAAATACATTAACTTTAACTCATTAACCTTTTTTTTTATAAGTTACAACAATTTATATCAGTGTGATATGAATTTGGACTTTTAACTGAATAAATAGTTATTACTCGATCCTGACCAGTAATTTTTTTTCTTCCCCAAATATTTCAGTCTTTCTCAGACCTCCTCTCCACGTAATTAGCAATTATACTAATTTGTCAGATGCAGCACTGTCGACCTAAAACGATGATTGTGATACGTATAGGTAACAGGATACACGAAGCGTTGCATCTTCATTCACCTCCATTTTTCAGTTCGCTACGGTGCAACCTAACGGCAGGCATTGTTGAAATTATGCTAATGCCAATTAAGCGCAATTGTAAAATATCCAGTAGATCGCGTTACCGGCTGCCGTTTACCGCGATAGAACATGTGCTGTATTTAAATTCGTCCTTATGTCTTTCTTGGCACATTCGCGGTGTTCCGCTCATAATTGCGAGAGTTAATTAAAAGAGCAATTATATCTTATGCTAGATACCTATATATAGGAATACCTAAAACGACATCATTTGAATAGAAGAGAAAGTCATATGTGCTAGAAGCAATGAATATTTATTGCAAAAATATGCTTTCGTTAATGTTATCTCAGTATTTTGTGTTAAGTCGATATTTAACATGTATAAGTGTTAAAATAACACATTTTACATTTCATTGTCGATTAGCACATTATGAGTGTTAATTTTGTATCAATTTTTATATATTTGTATCACTTTTCAACATATTCACCTTATATTAAATTAAAACGAAAATTTGTGCGGACCATTTGGGACGTGTGAAATGTGTTAAATTCAACATAACATTTTTTTACTATGCCAGTTTCGTCTAATACCGCCGTAAAGCGATTTATGGCAACGCGAGGGAAATTGTAGTTGCTTTGGTTTATCTATGCACGATAAAAGTATAGTTCCCGGCATGAGATACGTTCACTGTCAGCTCAAAGATTCTGCGATCTTTTGTCAATAGCTTGCCTATTGGTTTATATGCTTGTTGATCCAATTTATGTAGGAGAAGGTCCGCGTGAACACGTCCGGGCGTCCTTTGGCGCACGGTATTCCCCAGGACACTACTCCGATCTGCTCGTCATCAGCCACCAGAGGACCACCGGAGTCACCCTACGTGTACACATAATCCGGATAACGCATCAATATTACCGCGACATTGCAAATATTTTTATATTCTGAACTCATGATGTGAATCTAATAATAAATAATCTATCTATTCCTAATCGAAATTATCTACTTCTTCCTTTCAACATTTTTCAATACTTAAAGGCTCCTTATTCTCTTAGCTTAACTATGCACTATTGAAAGATCTCTTAATACAATGATTTCAGTAATAAATTTTATCTATCTCTTATTAATCGAAATATTAATTATCTATCTCTTCCTCTTCTCCGACGTTATACAATACTTCACTTCCAAATGAAAAACTTTATCTACAAATGAAACTTCACACAGTGCAGGGAAAAACTTTTCGAGTACTCGATCAAGTTAAAGCATACTCACGTGACAGGCTCCTTCGCCCTTTTGGTTGAGTGTGCAGATATTGTTGTTGGTGATGCGAAAGCTGGAGCGCAAGCATTCCTTTTGGTCGATCACCGTCAGATTAATGTGCTGCAGTTTGTTCGGTGCTTCACCCGGATACTGTAACAATCCGCATTAAATGATCGTAATTTTTCCTTTTCTCTAGGAAAAATTCTCTTCGGGTAGAAAAGGAAGCGTATTTGAAAGGGAGCGACGCAGTGAATACATCAGTTTTACGGGATGCGATAAACCTTTTGCACTTCATATGTCGGCACAGAATGATTGATTAGCTCTGGATTAATTAATTGTGAGTACTTACATCGGTCGTGCCCCATCCGGACAGCGTCGCCGAATAATTAGACTTTTCGAAGTTATGGCTAGGCAGAGCAATCGGTTGTACATTGTCGCCGTAGACAATGTCCTTGTTAACCTGGATTAGTCCGATGTCGTTCCAGATGAGGGTGGGACTGTAACCGGGATGTATCACTCTCTTCACCGAGGTGTACACGTCACCATCTTTGTCCAAGGTGATTGTGCCCAGCACGACGGTAATGGCCGTGTCGTTAAAACTATTAAATGCAGATTATAAAAGTATTTGTCTGCCGACAGATCCGGAGATTTCGGAGAAACGTACCTTGTCAGACAATGGGAAGCTGTGAGGATCCAACGATTGTTTATAACGGAGCCGCCGCAGAAATGTCGATCGCGAAAACGAAGGGACGCTTGATAAGGGAATTGTCCTTCATTGGCGGTAAGGCCGCCCACGATTTTCGGATTTTGATCGGGCGACTCGGCTGTACGATCATAGAAGCATGTTTAGTATCGAAAGTTCGTGTCTACAACGACTTATCGCTCACTAAGAATACGTAAAATTGTTTTTATCGCGGAGTACGAAAAGTTGATCTTTAACTTAGCAATAATTATAAGCAGGAAACCGATGTTTCCTATAAATATTGACAATTTAATACTTTCGCAACTCAGTGAGCTCCAAAATAAAATTTCATCAAAGTTCATTTTAAATATAATATACACAACAAAATAATGATAAAAAAATTATTAAATATTAACAAAATTAATATGTTTACCTGAGAATCCCCGTATTGCAATTACGCCCAAAATACAGACTACCGATAACATTTTTAGCAAAATAACGGAATTAGAAAACGGAACCTCTCGCTTCCGCTTCGCCCCAAGTTTGAAAGTTTGATGCCGATCCAACGATATCTCGCCCACACCATACACAGCGTTAGCCTTTATATACCCGCAAAATGTGCTTCACGAGGACAATTAGGTAAATGTCGGGTATTTAAATTTAGGTCAGATACTGCCCATGAAAAGAAAATACACTGTGTCTCCGATGTATCTCACGTACGCCGCGATACGCGGAGGGTGATATGTCGGTACCTGCGGAAATATATGACCGGATGCTTGCTATCAAAGTCGTAAAAAGGAAAAAAAGAAGCGTACCATTAAAGTGTGAAGTCCAGTGTTTCTACCTTGGAAAATAAAAGGAGTCAATGTCCTTTGGCGAGTGATTGATCGCCGGCTATTCAGCGCTGCCATCCAGCCACCGGAACAAAAAATTGAAGTAAAAATAGTGACTACTTTTTGGCAGAAAGAGTGGCAAGAAGTGATCTTTCAGCACGCACAAAAATCAAATTTCGTTTCCAAAAGTCGTTTGGGTCAACTCGCGAATACTCAAAGCGGTCAGATGCATAACGTGAAAGAATGGACATCACAATTCGGACGAAACGCATCAATGAAGCGAGAATATTGGGAAAGTTGTAGGGAAAGTTGAAATCAATTTAGTATCAACTACTTTAAAAGCGTAATATCTGAAAAAAAAAGAAAAATCATCGCACGATTTCATGCAGCGAATTCGACCGTCTGCACTACACTGGATTAGTGCACATCAAAAGCTGCTACACACAAAATATCCAAATATAATCGTTTAACACAAGTACTTTGAAGACGAAATAACAAATGTATATTGTGCAAAATAACGTAACGATACAATTATTATAGATATCTAATTGCTCTAAATGCTCTTATATTTTTTTACTTAAACAACTGCTTCGCGCATAACTGCCTCCAGCATGCGGCGATCCGGTGTAGTGCGGCTGTATGAATTTGTTATTAGCTACGGCGGGGAAATTCGAGGGAAGGTCGTACGGCAGGTTGAACAGAGACGCAGCGGCGTGTTCAACTCGAAGTTTCTTTATTGAGACGAATCGGAGGCAATGCGAGCCGCGTTGCGTCGCGTTGTCACTTTCAAACGAGTCAAAGTCAAACCGGAGTCGCTTTCAACGTCGCGCCTACATAGTCGGAAGCGTTGTCTAGCGTGGCGACACCGCAACATTTGGCCATTCGGTGTGTTGCTGTTCCAAGCGCGAAGGTGCTACCGCGTTCAAGTGCAACATCGACGACGTCGTCGTCGAGCGGGCTCGTATCATTTCGCAACGCGCATTTCCCCCGCGCGAACAAGTCCGTAGAAAATATGCATGTATTCACAACCAGAGGTTTAAAATCAAGACACAATACCGTTTCTCGCCTATGTTTGTAAATAAATAAAAATAGAAAAGCTCGGTAGTATAAGTAATCTCTATTGCGTATATCGTTCTCTCTCTCTCTCTCTCTCTCTCTCTATCGTTTTTTCCTTTACTTTCGCTTTCGCTTTCCCCCCTCCCCTTCTCTCTTAAAGAATGTAAGCAATCTTAATGAATACCCCATCTCGTAAATACAAAAGCTACATTGTTTCGGTTTATCACCTGCGGATCTCGTATAGCCGCATGCAACAAGTGTGTGTGTGTTCCTTAAGTATCTGCAAAAAGTAAAACCGCGGCTTTTTTTTATCGTTGAACGTCCGGTGTCGCACGCTCAGTAATGGATCGGCGTTTCTGGCATGTGTGAGTGTATATATTTCGAGATATATATATATATATATATATATATATATATATATATATATATTTAACTATCGCGCGCGCGCGCGTGTGTGTGTTACCTGTATATGACAATCACCGTGTACCATACTGAAGCGGCATTAAAACTTTATGATTGTCTAGTACATTTCTCAGATAATTACATAATATTATACACGTTTATATACTATATATAATTACTCATTTACTCTCTATCTCTCTCAATGGAGCTCCGCGCCAGTGGCTCCGGCGGGAATAACCGAGTATTTGTTCCTAGCGTGTGTCTCGCTGAAATACATACTCGACGCATATACATACATACATACATACATACATACATATGTGTGTGCGTGTGTGTGTGTGTGTGTATCTCTCTCTCTCTCGGAAGTGAAAAAGCCGGGTCCATCGTTTCTCGGTCCTCCGTTTCTCGAGTTACAGATGTATCTCGCGAGAGAACGATATCGGAGAGAGTCGGAACCGACGAACTGATTTCTTCAATTCGACACCGTGGAAACGCACGAAGAGAGGTTTCCGACGATTCCCGACCGCGGGGACGATTGACGCAACGGCTTCTTCTTCTTCCTCCTCCTCTTCGCATGCCTTCGCACGGCGTCGAAGATTGTCGAGACCTGTCAAGAGCGCAGCTCGTTTCATGATCCTCGACCACGAGATATAACATTCAACATAGTACTAAAAATATAACTCTTTCTTTTGGGACGCGGAAACATTAAATTATACAATTATCCTTCCAAAAACCGCGAGTCGTACACAACATCAAATGTCAGCGCCTCGTTTCACCCACGCGCGCAAGCTGTCTCTCTCGCGCGAAGCGTTGCTGCAGGCTATTTTCTCGAGCGTCGCTAGAAACAGCGACGAAAAATTCTCATTCCATTCTTTTTTTTTTTTCATTTTCGGTGTTTCGGCATCGTCGACGAGAAACCAAATCTACAAAATTTCTCTGCTTCTCCCGAATTCCGGCAATCTATTAACGACCTTTGTCGTTAAACGAATTTTATAACGATAATTACATTAGAATATGAGTAAAAGAGAATATACAACAGTCCATTAAAAAAGGATTAATTGGAAATAACAGATGAATCATCGAAACAGTTACGCGTAAAAATATTAGAGAAACCGTCAGTTTTCCGAGTGAAATGAAAAAAAAAAAAACATCCTTTCTTTTTAGATTTTTAGGACTCTCGCTCAGCCACACCTCCAGATTTTTCGGGTGCATCCTGTTTCCCTCACTTACTCAATCTACTCTTGCTGTAATTAAACTTCTTACGGTATGTCTCAAGTAAAAATGTTCCCTTCGTTATAAATTCGCTTAATGGAAAAATGAGTCCGTCTCTACGTGTATCGACACAGATGAAACATTTGCGTAAGCGCGTGCGTGCGGTTGCGTGTATGTGTGAAAGAATCTTATACGTAACAGCAAATAGATATAGAGTCTGCACCGTACTTTCCCTCTCTTTCTCTTATGAGAAAAAAAAAAACGGAATATCACCGTAAAAATTGGTGATCTTACCACACTACGTTTTCGCTCATCATCCCCGGCGTTTATGCAAACAGGACGACAATGCACAGAGATAATAAATGCAACTGAACACATAGCTATACACATATTATACTATATACGTCGCGCAAAATCTGCAAATGCATTTTCGATCGAGGCGTGAAAATTCACGTGACGCGAGAGAGCTGAACTGGTCGTACCTGAGATAATTTTCAACCACGCGTCGATGCTTCCCTTCTCCTCCTCTTCTCTCTCTCTCTCTCTTTCTCTCTCCCTCTCTCTCATCAAGACGCGCGACTAACAATTATTCCTCGTGTCACACGGCGGCTGGCATTCAATGTTGTCGATTCAAGCGTATACATATAAAAAAGCGACGAGATATTCGATACTAGACCACAGAGCTCGGTCACTTATTAGCTATGAAGTATTTAAGTATATTGTTTGGTTTGGGTTTGCTGGTGGTGGGCCAAGAACGCGTGACTTCCCTCCTCTCCAAGGGCAAGGACTTGACGGTGGCGTCGACGGTGGGTGACCACTGCATAGGCGAGGCGGAGCCCAACACTAGGTCGGCCATTTCGTTGCTCGGTGACTCTCGGCGGCCGCTCAGCCACACTTCCAGCTTGGTCTTCTTCTGCAACGGCTCCACCTCGTGCTGCAGCTCGTCCTCCGCGTTCTGGCCCGCCATCCCCGGCGACTTCGAGATCGGCGAGCAGGAGAGGCTCGACGGCCCGGAGGTGTTCATCGCGTTCGTGGCCGACTGGGACTGATCCGAGCCGTCGTTGCTGTCCTGGTTGATGCTCATCGGTGAGCCTAGGCTCACGTCCGAGATACCCTCCTCCGAAGTGATGTCCAGCACGGACTGGACGGCGACCTGCTTGCGCAGGAAGGACGTGATGCTGCTCTTGCCGAAGGACTGCTCCTCGAACTTGGTGAACGCGACCCCGAGCAGCGTCAAGTGGAACGGCTTGGAGACGTCGACCGCGCGGTGGAACAGCTTCATGGCGAGCGCCAGCATCTTGCTGTGGTCGTACACGCCGTTCTTCGTGGACGGTAATAAGTGCTTCGGCAACGCGCACTGCCTGCTCTCTCGCTTGCCGGAGGTGGGCTTGTTCAGGTCGTGCTTCCGCACGGTCACCTTCATGCCGACGGGGATCCTGCCGTCCTCCATCGCCATCTCCGTCAGTCGTCTCAGCAGCCCGCCGAGTCGCGACTCCACCTCGGCCACCAGCGACACGCTCTTGAATCCATCCTCTAGACCGATGGATTGCTTCTTCCCGGACGGTTTCACCGCAGTCTCGTCGATGCCCTCCGCGTTGTCCTTCAGCTTCCTCGCCAGGTCGACGCCGATCTTAAGCTCCAGATTCTCCAGTGGTATTCTGCGCAGGTCATCCACCGTCCTTATGTTGTTCGACAGCAGGAACTCCGTTGTCTTCTGCCCGACGCCTGGTATCTTGGACACCGAGCCCATGGCGGAGAGCAACATCGGGCCGCCGCACGGAAAGACGAGCGTCTGCTGATTCGGCTTGTTCAGGGATCCAGCCAGTTTCGCCAGCAACTTGTTGTGCGCTATCCCAGCGCTGCACGTGAGATGCAGCTCTTGGAAGATACGACTTCTGATCTCGGCGGCCAACTTGGAGGCGATCATCAGGCGCACGTGGCACCCGCACGGGCACTCCTCTTCCGACGGGCCGAATATCTTAACGACCGACTCCTTCAGCTCTTCGTCCACGCTCGAGCTGCTCATGTCGAGCTCGGAGTCGTTCTGAGGCTTTAGATGCTTCTCCACTACCAGCGTCACGTCGAGGAAATTGTCGTCGAAGCCCAATCTCTCCACCAACGGCGTGAACTGATGCAAGATCTCGGATATCTTGGTGGAATAGTGACGATAGTTCGTCAGATCCTCTCCGTTCACCAGGACCAGCCCCGGGCAGAGACGCAAAGCCTCCTGCACCTGCATGCATTTCTTCACACCGTACTCCCTGGCCAGATAATTACTAGTGACCACTATGTTCTTCTGCTGCACGCCCAAGGGCTTCCCCTCGAATTCCGGATGCCTAAGCATCTCCACTTGGGCGTAGAAGCAATCAACATCCAGGTGGATTATGGTCCTCGTATGACGTATAATGGTATCGAAGTCTGCGGTATCCATGGATGTTCTTTGGAGAATTGTGTTCTTGCGAGCGATAAAACTCATGTATAAGCTGTCGCGTGCAGCCTTCCCGGGACGATCCCTCGATCGTATCTGCAAACATAAACCACACGGATCACTGATGCTTTCTAAGACTTGATGCTAACGGTGGCGCAAAGTTATCGCCGATACCGCGAACGTGCGTTATTACCGTTGTTGTACACCGGCGACGTACGTCGGTGGTTTGTGGCAGTGCGATAACTCAACCGGATATAATCCGCAACGGGAGCGGGACGTCGAAGTAGTCCACAAGGAAAGGCAGAATTTGAGCTACCGCGAGTTCGCGCGACTTTCACTCCCGACAGCTATTCGGGCTTCTCAGAGGTTACTCGGCACCAGCTTCAGCATCTCAGGAGGGCTACCGCCGCTCGGCGACTCGCGCAACCGTCGACGCAAAACAAAACTGGCCTGGTAAACTAAACACAAACTTGTTTACAGCGTGCAAACCAACCAATCTATCTTCACATGGTAGCCATGTTTTTAAATTATCTAGATACGCATGATGTATACGAGGCTTCCTGAAACCTGCACGAACCTGCCCAGACAGGCAGCCACGCACGGAATAACGCCATGGGATAACGTGGTGACTCACCAGCGCCAGCCAATCAACTCTCCGCGAATGAGAGGCCCGCTGATTGGCTCACGTCTGCGCGCGAAAATCCCATCGAGAGGATTTGCATTCGCCACGACGTTCGTCGTCTAGCGAAGGTTGCCTTCTGAAAATACGAATATCGAAATGAAGATACGAATGTCACCTGTGAATCTCTCAGCCGTGATCTCAGAGGCGATGTCTGTGAGTTTACGCCAAATCCTTGTGCGTTGACTTCCGATGACGGCTTACGTTCACAACTCTATCGGGAACAGTTTCGACTAGGGATGGGCAAAACCATCGATGATTATACGTTCAGAAAACGTAACAGGAGTAATTCATTTAAATTTAGGGATCTAATAGTAAGGACCAATAATCATTTGGTGCTTTTCATTTGGCGACGCATTTTTGTTATTCATTGAATGCGGAATAAAGACAAAAAGAAAGCACCCATTAGCTGCTTACTGGATCGCTTACGTATCCTGAACGCAGTTGTTGTTTCTAAAACATCGATGTTCGCTCATTGAGGATGGTGTCACATCTAGAGAAAACGTCAGGGACTCTAGAAATTCCCTATCCGATAGCCAATTGACACATCCGGCAAACTCGTAGGACGCATCCTCAATGAGCGAACATCGAAGATTTCGCCCATCCTTCGTTCTTATGCAACCTTCGTGCGGAGGCCCTAACGTTCGCGATGACGTGGTATCACTTTATTTTTCTTTAACTTTTATCGAAAAACGGAGATAGAACGTGGTGCTCACATCGTCGCGAACGTTATGTGTAATCTAACCTATCTCCGTGAAACGTAGCTGACAGTGCGGACGATCATCACTCGCGCGTTGCGCGAAAACGAATTCCTATTGCCGAGAGATCATTTCGAGCATTGATCCGTGGATTTCTCATTCTTTACCTTCATCAAGTCAGAGGATTGAGATCGGAGTGTGAAGTCCCCGCCGGGTTCGATGTAACAGGCGATAACGGGTGGAGAATATAGAACGAAAATGAGGAAATTAAATTAATCCACAGACAGTATAAGGTACGATCAAAATCGAGGGGAGTCGCGCTTCTCTCATCGGAGTAACCGGACACCTTCCTGACGAGTTGTACGACCCAAAAGCCAGAAGTTCGATCCTCGAAAGCCACAGCTTTGCGAATGCACTGTACGGCGCTCTCGCCGGAAAGGCATAACCTCTACCCGCTGCGTCACCTCGGCCGCGTCCCAACCTAACCTAACAGGCGGGTGGACGTTCGGCGGCGACTGATCGCGCCACGGTCCTCTGCGAAGATCGCTCGGCGCGCATGGTCCGCACGGACAAAACGTGCTGTCGTCCGCCGACGCGGTATCAATCGGGCACGTCTCACACGAGCGGTGGGCTCGTTCATATCTCTCCCCGCGCCGCATCGCACTTGCATTCGCGCGGCGCCATCTTGGGAAGAATTTCGCTTTCCGCATTTCGAATGACCGAGTGTCAAAAGTCGATAGTCGCATAGTGTCGCGCGCCGATTTTTCCATAACGTGTCGCTCGCACGCCGCTGATCTCCGCGTAGAGAGTGGTGGGCCGCCGCTCGACGACGAGGGATACGCGGTGATCATTCGCCCAGCTCCCCACGTCTCTATGTGAATTTTCTCGCGGGAAAGAAAAGAAACCACTTTCTCACAACACGAGAGAGAGAGAGAGAAAGAGCGAAAGAGCCTGTATATGCAGTATACGTGTATATATATATTAGCCGCTCTTCTATGTACATCTAAGCGCGTATACATGCATATATATATATACATATATAAATACACGCTAAGAGAACCAAGAGAGAGAGACTAGGGTCTAAAAGAGAAACAGCCGGCACGAGGTGCGAGAAGGAGGTCGGCGAAGGTGTAGTCGCACGGCGAGGCCCGCGCGTATTTTCAAGTCGCAAGTTTCGAAATAACGTCGGCAAAACGGCAGCGGGAAAAAAGTCGGCGAAGAAGATGGCGGAGAACGAGGAACTGGAGGTGAGTTGGTGCGCGTGATACATAAAACTCTAAACGGTGTGCGGCATACGGGCGAGCATACGGAGGGGAGGGTGAGAGCAGCGTCGCGGCGCATCGCGTCGGAGAGCTTCCTCGCTCGTCCCCGCGATTCATCTTCTCCCGTCGCGTCGTATATCGCGTCGCGTCGCGTTGTCGCCGCCACCGCGCCTCCCGTCCGGCGGCGCCGCGCGCGCGATTTCCGGCTTTTTTCGACGGGCCCCGTCGGTGGAGTTCGCGTTGTGGCGCGCGTCTAATATCGTCGTTTCTCGTACCGTGCCTGCCGTCCTGTGTGCGCACTTTCGGGTCCTCGCAGTGGCTTCTCTTTCTCTCTCTCTCTCTCTCTTACACTTTCGTGTCGTCGCGCGCGGTGTCTCCTCGTTGTGGCGTGCGCTCTTCGCGATAGCGCGTTACGCCGTCTCGTGACTACGCAACGCCAGACCGTGGGCCGAGCCGAGAGAGCCGCAGCGGGCGGACGCCGATCGCCGGACGAAGGACTTCGCCACGGTCCCGAGAATGCGAGCGACGGGCTGTGCTTGCGGCGGCGCGATCTGCTCGGTCGTGGATAACTGCGGGTAACCTCACATTTTTCACCGAGAGAGACCTCACACGTCGCTCTCCCGACGTGACTCCCCCTCGTCTTTGTCTTGCCTCCCCCCTCCCGATCCGCTCGGAGCGGACAGATTGTCACTTTTTCGGTTCTCGTTTCCTCGTCGCACGGCCAGGCACGTTCGGCGACCTCGTCCCGTGTGAGAGAGAGAGAGAGAGGGGGAGAGAAGAGAAATTATGTGTGCGCTGCCACGTTGTGACATATCTCTCAGAGTGAGCCTTCCATTAGTTCGGCGCCTTTTCTCCGAATGAGGAGCCCAAATTTCGCGCGTGTGTCGCACACACACACACACACTGTGGGACCGACTCTCGTGACGGATTCTTTCGAATATCCGACGTACAGAGCACGCGGTCGAGAGAGGAAGGCTTTGCCAGAAGTAGCACTGATTGAGCTCTGATACCGTTGCATTCTTCCTCGATGTTGCGCTCAGCGATAGTCGGTCGTAATTGTCAGATAAGATGATAAACGAGTTCGAGTTACAAAGGGAACGGTTTCTGATTGCAGAATATGATATTGAGTTTTCGAGTGTCTGAGCTTCAGATGCTTCTCGGTTTTGCTGGTAGAAATAAGTCCGGTAGAAAGAACGAGCTGCAAGCACGCGCACTGGAGCTGTTACACTTGAGGTCACATCCGGCTATTCGACTAAAAATCCGTGAACTATATAAGACAATACAGTAAGTTACGTGGAGGGGAGCCGAGTAATTTCTCCAGTTGTAATCAGTAGATGGTTTGACCGGCGGTTACACCGGCTGGCAGGATGGTATTCGAATAGACACTTCTTTCTGTTTGTATCCTGTACGGTCAGCGTCACGTGTGCCACGCCATTCTCTGGACTGAGAGTTCACGATTTTCAGTCTTGCACCTGTATGCGTAAGATTGAAAATCGCCCAAGTAATTCTGTTCACAATGGTAGTTACAATGGCTCTGGTTATGGTGACCTTGTGTGTGAGACCGAACATCGTGTAACTCTCATTCCGACAGTACATCTTACAGCATACATGACGCCGACCGTACAGCTTTCATATATAAATCAAGGTACTCAGGAACTTCTTTGTATGTGAGATCATCAAATTCGTCATGTAGATACGACAAACCTTATGTCAGGTGTAGTTTCTGTTTGTGTGTGTGGTTGAATGCAGTTTTTCAGAATCCAACCAGCCTGAATTCTTACTTGTGCATTCGTATAAATTGCAATAATCAAACATTCACAAGTCTCTCCCGCAGATGCAAGACCAATAGATTCTTGCATTGGTCTTACACATGATTTGATCTGATTTATGATTTAGCATAATAAGTCGCTTCCTTTCTCTATATGGCATTATTGATTTACAACGTGCCTCCCTGCTTTTTCATCCTTTAAATGCTTTGGTTTCACTTGCCACAGTCAAAGCCCGATTTATAATAGGAGCAGTGGTAAGCCTTTTGCCTTTCGCATTAAACTGTGATTTAATTTCTAGCAAGAGGCGTTTCTACGGGACGCTTATTAGATGTCGCAATTTCTATGCTTCAGGTGTGTTGCCCACGATTTGGCAGTAAGGGAAACATCCCTTTCTCTTTTGATAGAAACATGTATATTATAGTTTAATGCTTAGAACAAAAGGGTTATATATGACATCTATTACAGATTGGGCTTTAACTGCAACAAAATATAGAACGACATATTTCTTCTAGGCAAGATCAAATGGCAGCGCATCAAATCTACAGTCAAACTGGTAGTTCCACTGAGCCGCAAATAGATCAAACAATGCACAATAGAAATTATTATTCGACAAGGTATTTATTTTTTCTTGTCAATTGATGTGTGATTTATACTATTTATTATATCATTATATGGCCATAGTTACGCAAGAAGTATCCAACCCACATGGAGTATGTTTCGAGAAAAATGAAGAAGATTTGATACATGATTTAAAAAGTATAAGTAGCACTGAGGTTCTCTTCAAGAATCGTTCAAAAAATCAAACATGATCCATTTTCTTCTCTCTAAGAGTATTCATTGACAAATTTAATCTTTAAAAAATGAGTGAAGGAGAACGCAACTAGTAAAAAAATAGTACAACTAGTAGGAAGTAAACACTGTTTTTGAATTAATTGTAGACGCCCGTAAAGTTCGGGTCCTTTGTTTTATGTAAACTACTCATTAGTAACAAAATCTCAAAAATCTATTTTGTAGATTGGATCTTTCTTGCTTAACTGTGACTGTATATAATCATTCATACGAAAATCATTGAAACAGCAGCATCGATATATGAAACAGAAATATTTATATGTTCGAAGGCAAGCGATGAGCCAACAACAGCAATCTCAGGCATCTGTCTCTGCTGGGAAAGAACTGACTCCAGCTCATCAAGCGTCCATACCTCAGGCACCTAGGACCAATCCAGTGTATCAATCAACTGGTTATACCAATGTAACAGCACAAGTATGAGGGAACAGTTGATACTTTTCAAATACTTACTAGGAATAATACTATTCGAAATTTTCGAAGATTAGAGACTTCGTTTTGAGATTATAATTCGACATTTGACGAGAAAGTTCGAAGATTCGAATTTTTACATTTCAAAATTTCATTATTCGAATATAACAAGTGAAGGTTCAGAAATTCGAAGTCTCGAATATTATTCCTAGCTCTATTACTCATTTATTACATGCTGTCGGATCTCAACCTCAGAATTTTCCGTCGATCGTCGTTCACGCGTTCACATTTTTCTCCTCTTCGATTTTTCCAGCGTGCACCGAGCGCAGGATATGCATACTCACCGTATCCGCCCAAAGTCTTACCATCACCTTTGCAAATGCAACCCGCTACGCAATATCCGGTACATCCAGACGTTAGATTGAAGAAACTTCCATTTTTCGATTTATTAGGAGAACTGCTGAAGCCCTCTAGTTTAATGCCACAGGGATCATTGAGACTGCAAGAGAACACTTTTATGTTTCACTTGACACCGCAACAGGCGACGGACATAGCCAGTTCGCGCGACTGTAGAGCCGGTAGCAAAATGGATTACATTGTACAGGTATGTCGGTTCTTCGCTGTTTTCACTTGGATTGTTTTCCCTCCTCACAAACCAAAGCGCAAACGCGTGAAAGGTTACGGTGGATGAAGGGATGTGCATATGCCGATCGTTGTGTTATTAGATATCTTATGTGCTCCCACTAGGTACAAATGCGGTTCTGTTTGCAAGAAACGTCGTGCGAGCAGGAGGACTATTTCCCCCCAAATATCACAGTTAAGGTCAATTCGAAATTGTGCCCGTTACCTGTAAGTACTGTCCTATGAATTTTTTTTTTTTCTAAATTGTATTGGGTTGTTTTCTTTTTTTTTTATTTTCATGAAAAACGGAAAGACGATACCATCATAGTCAGGCACAGTTTGGTATTTTCGTTCTTTTCTATAAGTTTCCATAGAAAATAATGGTTAATATATTGTTAGAATAAAGGTATATCCATTTACAAAAATATTGGTCTTGAATTTTTCGTAAAAATCGGCACGAATTTATCGAACGATCCAATATGTTGTATTTTGAAGTAGTTAATTTGTAAATTAATTTTCAAGTCAGAAATATTGTAAGCAAAAGTGATATAAATGTTATATTCGCGTCAAGGCGAAAAACCATTTCTTTCTGAGTTTTTAAACATGTAAGTTTGATCGATATTCTCTTGCCATAATGTCAAAGCTGTACATCATAAATCATGTCATAAACATTTAGCACAGATTTGCCGAGCTTCTTCGTTGTATTATCTGTTATCTTTCTAACAGTATTGTCACGGATCAGCACTACCTTACAATATCGAGCCGAGATCCCCGTGTCGGCGATCGTATGATTGTATTACTTATTTGTTCTTTGTTTTCCCCAGAATCCCATACCTACCAATAAACCGGGCGTAGAACCGAAGAGACCGCCGCGGCCTGTAAATATCAGTCCTTTAGTGAAACTATCGCCCACCGTCGGCAACGAAATACGCGTTTCATGGTCGGCCGATTACGGCAGGCGATTCGCAGTGGCAGTATACCTCGTCCGAAAGTTAACCAGTGCGGAATTACTTAGTAGATTAAAAAACCGGGGCGCCAGGCACTCCGATTACACCAGGGGCTTAAGTAAGTAGTCCTGCGATGGTGAGCCGTCGTTTGTTTCAACCGTGCGTCGAAAATGACGATTTTTATGACGATTTTTATGACGATTTGCAGTTAAAGAGAAACTAAACGAGGATGCGGATAGCGAGATCGCTACCACGTCACTGAGGGTATCGTTAGCTTGTCCCCTGGGGAAAATGAGGATGTGCACGCCGTGTCGTGCGTCGACGTGCTCTCACCTTCAGTGTTTCGACGCTTCGTTGTTCCTTCAAATGAACGAGCGCAAACCCACTTGGAACTGTCCGGTTTGCGACAAGTCGGCGCTATACGATAATCTCGTGATCGACGGGTACTTCCAGGAGGTTCTGAACTCGAATAAGTTATTGCCAGATGTAAATGAGATTCAGTTGCTGCAGGACGGCTCGTGGGAGAATCTAGTGTTGAAGAAGGAGAAGGACAAGGATAAGGAGAAGAACGAGGCGAAAGCCGCGGCCGATTCGCGGGAGGATAAGATCGACGTGGATACGGTGGATTTAGGTAAATGGAGACACTTATCTTGCCGTGCAGAGCTCTTCTACCGGAATGGACGCGAAATGGCAGATTCTTTGAACTTGCCCAGATTCAATTTTTGACGTCTAAGTCCGGGTCTGCGATAGGTGTAGTAAGCCTTTATCCTGTTTCGCACCGACGAGGTAATATTAAAGGCCCCGGATAAATTTTCGTGCTGGCAAAGGGGCCCGGAGGGACACGAAGATAACTGAAGAAGGATGACGTTACCGACTATTTCTAGTCACCCGATATAAATATCTGAATATTTATTGTGGCATGAGTATTAATTTTATAATTAGACATAGGAAAATTCCAATTACGTGCGAATATTCGTGCATCGTGACTATTAGTAATTTGATAGATCGGCAACGGCTGCTTCATAAGCAGCAGTCATAATGCACAAGTATTCAAAAATAACGCGCCTAATTGGAAATTTTCATTATTACTATGTCTAAGAAATGGGATAGTATTAATGGAGTCTTCTGTACAATGAAATATATCAAATATTTTTTTATGAAATTGCATTCCTGCAGTTATAATCCAAACTGGTTTCATACAAATTTACCGACTGGAGGTTATTAAACAAGCGAAATTTTCCCTGCACGCTAAGTCCCGTAAGGCCAGTGATCTTCAGTGTTACCTCATCGGTGCTCTAAGCAAGTCGGAATTACTTGCGCTGTCGAGACGAATTTCGAAGACTTACGCCTGCTTTCTTCCCCTTGCCTCTCCCGCTCGTTTTTTGCGCCGTGCGATTGACAGTCCAGAGCGTCAATATCGTCAACTTGACAAGAAGACACTCCGTAATTTCTAAAATATTCTTATTGAAATTAATTCTCTATACATATTATTCTTATACGTTGCCAACATAATTTAATATTTAGAGCAAAAGGCTTCCTACACCTATTGTGGATCCGGACTTAGCGGGCTTTGAGGCTCCCTGGTCCTTCGTTGCAGTCGTGATTAACGATATCAGAAACGAGGAAACGTACGTCCTGACGTCATCAACCAAGACGATTGCAGCGAGAGACCGGGGATCTTGACGGCGACATTGTTACCTCACATAAAACTACTCGTAAGCGCCGCTGCTGATGCGATATATGTTCTGTTTGCCCGTTAGACGAGACCAATCTCACCACACCTGCACCAAAGGAGAAAAAGCGCGCAGTCGTGATCGACTTGATATCGGACAGCGACGATGACGACGAGGACAACACACCGACTCAAAGTACAAAGAAACAAAACACTAGTAGCATTTCGTCGCCAAAGAAATCACAGGCCAGCTCCATCAGCAGTACAAGCGAATCTCCCGAATTGATGATCATTGATTTAGAATAAAGGATTGTGTGATACACCAGTTGTGCGACACGAACTTTTTACCGAGATTTTTCTCGCCAGCTCTGTGAGACGCAGAGCAACGACGGCGCTTTTTTTTCCGGCGTTTCTTCTGCAGTCTGTCGAAACTCAGAAGCATCGGCACGCTGGAACACGAGCGCCGTGGTTCCCTCTCGGGATGGTCGAAAATGTGCAAGGAAACTTTCATTTCTCTTTCTATTTTTCTCCTACGTAATTTTAATCACACTGCATTGCATTCCGACATTACAAATACAACAGCTCGCGCCGCTTCGTCGATCTCACTTGGCGAATTGAATCTAGTGCTAAAGTCGAGCTCGATCTGACTGAGATGAGCAAGTATTTTAATACAATTTTCACTATTTTAAGAAAAAGAAGTCGGTCCACGAAATGTAACGCGTAAATGAGAATAAAGTTACCTTCATCTTTTATAGCGTAAGCCTTTTATTAACCTTGACATGAGATCTCGCATATGCCACCCGATTCACGCTTCGCTCACTTACACACACACACACACACGTCTCTCTACCGTCGCTGTGCTGTCATCTTCCCTTAATTAAGCTCATCGTGTGGGAGGTGCGCTTGACACGATCAGGGTTAATAAATCGCTTAAACTATAGTCTAATCTGTAATCCGTAATGTGTCTAGCGTTTCATTTCGGAATGTCTTCTTAAGTGGAAAATATGAATACATGTGATTCGATTGGGTGATCGCTGATAACCGGAAAGTTACTTCTGCGTGTTTTTTTTTTCGTGGACAACGGTAATGTTGATTCTTCTTTACGTTGACCGAGCGAACAATAACAACACGTTGGATTATCTGACAATATCGATCATCCCCACTGGTGTTCGGAGTGAAGCGAAGTGAGTCTGTTAATCGATTTAGAGGGTTCACAGAGTATATCATTTATATAGGAATAGCAATATTCAAAAGAAGAGAGATCGATTTCGTTTATCTTGTTCCGGACGATACATATCATGTCGTGATGCGATTTGTTCGATAAGACAGAGTGTGTCGGTGTACTTGTTCTTCGTTGTGACGAATAATATTCGATATCTATCACTATCCCTCTTTCTCTCTCTCTCTGTCGGAACCCAGAACAAAACAAATTTCTAAAAGATGTCTTAAACGTTCAGAAACGTTCAAAAGACGTTCTATTTTTTTGTTTGTTTTAGATCTCGCAGATGGCTTTAAGAGGCCTTAGAAATTTGTTTTGCCTTGGGTGTTATTTCTTCCTTCGGGAGCTATTTTCGTTTCGTTAAAAAATATGGATGAATTTTCTGGGGGAGATGAGCGGGGCGGAGGAGCCAAATTTACTAGCGATGATGACGCGCACGATGTACCCGCTTCTCTCTCTCTCTCTCACACACACACACACAGTCCGCGAGTTAACTTCATCTGTAGTACTTTAGTAAACTTATTCTTCCTCGAAAGTTCCGTTCGGCGGCGGATACATGTAGTTGCGCAATGATATACCGGAGAGTCGTTGGTCCACGGGTTCCCTCTTGTCGTACAGACTGGGCGCTTGGAAAATTATGCCCACTGTGCCGCCGAAGCACGCGAGCGTAAACACCCAAAGAAAGAATCTGTCCAAGACCATAGACACGAATTTCCAATCCTCTATAACCTGTGAAGGATGAACGAAACACTTTCAATGTGATAAGCGAGAAGATTTTCGATATTTTTTCAATAGTTCTGTCGACATCCGAGCGTTCTAGATGTATATAGTAGTTACATCGTGAGAAAGTGTTTAGAATTTCAGTTCCTCTCCGATTCCGATAAGTTTTGTTCACGCGAGACGGCTAGAAATAAGAGATGATATTGTACTGAGCGTTTTGGGAGTAACTCGGAAACCGCGGTGATCAGCATTCTCGTACACCGAGATACTTCATGTGACGGATCAAGTCTCGCGAGAGAAGAAAAAGAGTATTTAATTATGTGTGTATTTTTTAAAGAGCTCTATGTATACTTCTTTTTGTATATTGTGTTACAAAAGACGGATGGAATTTTCTTCACGATACCGGATCTCCTTGACGATTGATTGAAGATGGATAATTCTGCACGTTTGCTATAAGATTACCTCTTACGTTAATTACTGCCCAAGTTATTGTAAATTAATCAAAATGTCGGTATCTTGATTTTGTTTTTGTCAGAGGGACCTTCTTGTCTAGTCGAAAAACGATATGTACATATCTTATACATATATATTTCCTCTTGGTTTAAAACCAACTGAATGTGTAAAGAACGCTCAATTACAACAAGTTACAACGATTATATAAGAATTCACGGTTAAGATTGGATTGATGTTAAAATTTACTATTTACCTCGTTATCTTTATCCGCGTCTTTGATGTGCTGAGCGATAAAACGCACACCCTTGAGAGCTAATATAACTTCCGGGGATAAGTGTTTCGGCATCGTATTCTCGCTGTCAGTAACTGAAATGATATTGTTGTTAGATCGTTCGTAAAATGTTGACTGTGTGCTTCAAGTTTACGATGTTACGTTATTGTATCCTTACTGGTGCGGATGGCTGTTTTGTTAGACACATAACCGAGGCGATTGTTCTATCATTGTTTCCATGAGTACGATACGATGTAATGTAAAATTGTACGACGAATATTCGGGTCAATTTATTCCATAAAGTTTATATGTAACGATAAATAAAGAATGAACTTCTAAGAACTTGTCTTGAACTCTCGAGCACGAACGCGTGGAATGTTGATGATATCTACATCAGCAGTTACAGATTTGTTTACATTTCTGCAAGAAACTGCGATACTTTTTTAAATATAATATAACGATTCCTACATCAACTCTGCTTTCGATAGTCGAGTTAATCGCGTGATAAATTTGAAAGATAAAAATTTGTTTAACTCACGGCGTCGTAGACAGTCACATTATTTAAAAAGTTATCTAATATACTTATTTTGGATATACTCTTTTTATTAGTGACATCAGCTTTTTAAAATGGCTCTTACAACATAACATTTTCCCTTACGAGCTGGTTCGAACATCGACTAAGGTTCGGGTCTCGGCTAAGTAAGGTTCGAGTCTCGGCTACTTGGAAAATTAGTTCTCAAATCTCCGCTACGAGCCGCCACCGTCCCGGACAAAGATTAGTAGATGAATATATAAAACAATAGTCCGATTCAACGACGGGTTGGGAGAACTTTCATTTTCAAATAATAGAAGTCAAATGACCTTTTCATTTTCAAGTTTACGATTTGGCGGTTTAATAATCTTTTCATTTTTCAGACAGCGCGGCTGAACGTCCGAGGTTTCATTTTCAAATATTACGACTCAACGACGGATCAAACGTTGAACTCTGAAGTTGAGCGGAAAACCGTGATATCGTCAACAATGAATGAATAAATGACTATAGAAAATCACTTTCCGATCATTTTCTCATCATTTTAACGTCAACGTCATTTTCCATTCTACCCGGGACTAGGTCAGGGTTGAAAAATTAAAGGGACACCAAACGTTTCTTACGAACATGCGACGGAAAAATGTTACCTGACGCGTGCGGTATGTGTCGTGCGTCGTCGTCTCTGATTTTGTACACGGAGGTGACGGTGTCAAATCTGTTCGGGCTTCCTTTCACTTCCAGCGGATAGTCGCTCACGCTGCCATGAGAAGAATCGTGGAAACAGAGACGGGTAAAATAGAATAATTGATCTCAATCTCAACGATACTCGGGTAATCGAGCGTTCGAGTGCCCACGTAAGATTCTTTTCTTCTTCTTTTTACCGTTTCCCCCTCGTTACTTCGAATAGTACGTGTCCAGTATCGATGTTCTTCGGAGCGCCCGATTAAACTGGCATCGATAACTCCGACTTAAGGTCGGAGTTCGCTCGATACATCAATGTTATACGAAACGACTCGCTCTTAGACGGCGATTTCCCGAGTTTAACCTGAGCGGACAACAGGCATTACCTGAAATCTATTTCATTGGTGTATCCACTGTCCATATAAGTGTCGTCGTACTCGGGCGTGGAGTACGGCGTGCGACGCATCAGCAGCACCCTCGGCATCCAGTTTAGAAATACTTGTCTCACCCACGGCGACATGTTATGCGTGGAAGGCGATCTGCGAACGATTCGAAGTTTCCACTTAATCCGCACACTCTGATCATCGAAAAGAGTTTGATAAGAATTCAATGGAACTTGCATTATTTCACTAATAAATAAAATATTTTTATATACAGAATGAACGAAGGAATCGATTTATATATATATATATATATATATATATATATATATAAAATGGTTCCATTTTAAGAAATGAAGCTGATTTTTATTTCACCCTGACGTCTCTGCCTAAAGGCAGATTCTTTTTATCAAAATTATATAAATACTAAATTTATGAGTGACTCCCGAGTCCCAATAAAAATACGACACTGAACTTTACCTCTTAAGACACTTGCGAGATAAAACGCAAGAAAAAGTTCTCGGGCGTTAATTCAAAACGCAGAGCACGACGCTAATTGCTTATTATTTTCACCGCTCACCGGAAATGCACGTTCAAGACGCAGACGGTGATCCAAATGGACAGGGTGACTAAAATCATGGTGAACAGTAAGTATTTCCCGAGTAGAGGTATGGCGAGCGACGTCGGCGGGATGATTTCGGCTAAGAGCAGGAAGAACACCGTCAGTGAGAGGAGAATGGAGGAACACAGTGACACCTGCGCGAGAAACACGAGAAGATAACAAATATCCGCATTCACAACGATCATCAAAGTTGCGTGAGCGCAAAGAAGTTCGGTGATATAAAACACGGTTATGCGTGAACTTCGAACGATTACAATTTTTAGCCAGTCACCTGCTCACCTTTTCACCGGAATCGCTGGGCAGGTAAAAAACTAGCACCGTCATAAACGTGATACCGACGCATGGGATAATCAGATTGACGGTATAAAATAGAGTTTTCCTCCTCATTGTAATGTTGAATGTAATATCTGCAATAACGTATACTGATTATTAAACGGTAATGTCTTCGTTGTTAGATGTATACATAAATGAGAATTTATTTAGATATATACATAATTATTAAGAAATATACATAAATAAGAAATAATATAAGTGCAAGTAGTATGCATACTCGATCGTGAACGCGTTGAACCTTTGCGTACCTGAATAAGGTTCTTCGCAACACGGGTAATATTCCTCGTTGCGTGCTGCTGGCACTTCCAAAATGTCCCACTCCACTGACAGATAAAAATCGCTGAGATCTATACCGATCGAGACGATGTTGTTACCAGCCATTTGCTTCATATGCTTCAGGTCCACCTATTAACGAGCGATTTTACAAAGCATACTTTCGAAGGGCGTCACAATGAAGCTATACGATAAAAAAAAAGCTGTTACGTTAAAAGATCTCTACGTTTGTAATCGTCAATTGTCTTGAAAACTGTCGACCTTTTCGTGATAAAAGAAATCAATTTCAAATTCGCAACAAAATCTTAGATTAAGGTGGTAATTTTCAAGAAGTATTTTGATTTGAAACATCGATAAATATTTATACAAAACTTCAGAATTTTGTATGTCTTGAGTTTTTCTAAAAAAAAAAAAAGAAAAAAAAAGAAAAAAATCACCTACTGGAAACGAAACGTTCCAAATTGAAAATATCCCCTTAAGGTATCTCATCTCAGTTACGCAAATGTACGTTATTATAACCTGAGCGCCGTTGTATGTCCATGAGCCGAATTTCATGATACACGATTGCTCGTCGAATGGAAAGTACTCAACGTTGATTTCGCAGGACGACTTGTAAATGGCCGGCGGTTTCCAGGACACCTCGCCGGTATACTTCAGCGTGGCTTTTGTCATCAGCGTCACTTCATAATTTCCGTCCGCGCTGCAATAGGAAAGACGTAGAGACGCCAGTGAACACACTGATCACCACATGCAAACGAACGTGCGCGTTGTTTTTCGAATCACCGAGCAAATTTTTCATGTCTCTCTCCGTGACGAAAAGTGCGAGAACGTTTCCGCCATTCGGCAGGATTCGCGAGCCGGCGTAGAATTCATTATTACACTGCAAATTCAAGTGTGTAATTTTTACACGCTCACGCTGTGTAAAATCGTGCAGTCGCTTTTTACGCGTTTTTACGCGCGTTATTTTGCTGCATATTTCATCTGTGTTCATTTTAGACAGTTAATGCGCGTGCGTACATTTTACACGCTTGCATGTTAATTGAGCATATGAAACGCGTGATTTATTTAATTACGGGGAACATTAAAAGTTAGATATTACTGGTTACGGAAGGAATCTTTAGTGTTTTTACTGAACTTTTTATCGAAAAACGCTCCGAATTTTCTCCCGAACTTAATACACATTTTCTCAAAACAACGCGTAAAACTCGAATGCAACTCGGAGGGCCTAAATGTGCAAAATTGTTTTAAACGTGTACTTTTTACACATCTGCATTAATTAAAAGTACACATTCCTCTATTTTTACACACATTGCATTACGTGTCGCATTATATACGGCGAAACTTCTTTTTAAATTACCCGCGTTTAAATGCGCGAATTAATTTTTTTCTATGCGATAAAGTCTGTAATTTTCGCATGGAAAATTAAATCACACACATAAATGTGTAATTTTACACACATACACACACACGCACAAGTGTGTACTCACTACGCACTTGGATTTGCAGTGGCATCTCGGTCCGTCCGGAGTCCTTCGCGAGACTTACTTGTTGTACAGCACGATGTCTGGAAGCCATATATTTTCGGAAGGCACGTATAACATCTCCACACCGCCGTACTCCTGCGGGTCCCATTGCAATTTGTAGTCGAACCACTTCTGCGAGCAACGGAAAGAGCGAAGCGGCACGTTAATCGCGACACCCACACGGTCCCGCTATCGTGATTGTTATCGGTTATTATTATGCGAGCGCCAGTGAAAACGAGTCAACGAGTACAAAAAGCGGACAACATATATATATATAGAAAGAAAGAAAGAAAGAAAGAAAGAAGGAAAGAAAGAAAGAGAGAGAGAGAGAGAGAGAGACGGTAGACATTTTACCTGCTCCACCCAGACGTTCGTTGTCATCACTTGGTTCTTTAGATTCTGCAAAGCCAAACTCGATCGTTAGTTCTCAACGAGATCCTCAAGTTAACGCAACGCGCGTGTAGGGCTGGTTCGAACGGTGGACGGGGAATGGTTACGGGGTAAAAGTAACGACGTCGGGCTGCTTTCGGAAAGGATCGAACTAATTTAACGGAGGTGTGGTATTTACGTGTCGGGCCAGTACCATTTCTATTAATTGCGACAACTTCAACATCAGCCAGACGGTCAGGGTCTCCGTATTATTACTAACAGGACGTATCAGTCTATTATAGTTGGATAGTAAATCGTCGTAGAGCCTCTTTGTATCGGGATTCGCTTCGTAAACTTTGCCCCCTGCACGAAAGAGAGAGAATCGATTGGCTTCATTCCGTTTCTCTTCGGCACAAAAATCACACTTGACAATAAGACAAAAACAAGAAGAAAAAGAAATTTAAATCTCCTCAGAGGTTCACTCGAGGTAAATCGAAGTTACCTCATTTCACCCCCCCCCCCCCCCNAGAGACGGACGATCTGAATGAAAATTTGCGCATGCGACCTTGTCTTGTTAACGGGAAAAGTGTCGCTTCGTCCGGAAGTATACACACGCACGGAAGAAAACAATTTCGTTGGTGCAACCGAATTTTCCGCTGTTCCTGAGGAGCAGACGAAAATTCGGATTGTAGGAGCGGAGAGATTCCTGCGGGGAGGCTTTCCACCCGGTTAATTCTTCTCAGTTGTCTCCGTTTTAATGCGGCCAAATGTTCGCACGAATCTTCCCAGTCGCGATAACAGAGATATCACTTTTTGAAAAAGGATGCCACAACCTCTGATCTGCCGACGGTGTGTGTGTGTGTACAATAACGGACGCACGATCCACTTGAATCTTTCCGTAAACTTGGTCGCGCCCGCGATTATCGGGCCGATTAATGGAACGAGTGCGACAAAAGATCGTGATAGCTTAATGGAAGACGTTCTCCAAACGTCCAAGTGTCCGAGCGCGCTTACCGTGAGAGATGCCGAAGACATTGAGCAAGACTGTGAGCACCGTAATCCGCATTCTCGTTTCACTGTTTACAAACGCGTCTCGGGGCACGCAAGCTTCTCTCTCTCTCTCGGCGGGACCGGCTGCAGCCGTCGGCTTCGCGACAGCACCCCTAGCAGTGATCTTACGACTAAAGGGGCGCGTAGAAAAGGAACGTGGCGGCGATAAGGGAACCCGTCTCTTCGATGCGTGCTGAACGGCGCGGCGTGCGATCGGCGAAGCGTCGTCGGCTGGTCAGCATCTTCCACTGGTCCAAGATCGATACCTCGCCGCCATGACACAGCCGCCCCGTGCACCCGGACCGTTTTGCGCCGGTCCGCAGCTGCGCGGCTCGTGGCTACGAGAGCGATGCAACGCTAACCCCAAAACACACCCATTCTCGTAACGGGGGAGCAAGCGTTCTCGCGCAATTACGAACGTTTAATTCGCGATGCGCGTATCCAAGCGTCACCCGCACCCGCCGATCTCGGTCTCAGTGTCGTCGTCGTCGTCGTCCTGAAAAATCGGCGGACGCGCCCGGATATGACGAACCGGGCGAAGTCACGATTAAACGCGCTAATGATTCGCGGTAACGATTCGGGTAATCGCTCGTCGGTGAGAATCAAACCACGGTGGGCGAATCCGACGAAGAGGGCTGGCTGCATGCGGAAAATGTCTGTTGAATAATGTATATGACAGCAGAATTTACCGGACTTGTATTGCGCGATTGCATATAGACAAATCTGCATTCGAGTGAATATTATTGTTTTTCGAGTATTTCATACGTTTGTATATCCGCAAGTATAAGTTCATCATCATAAGCATAGAATTTATTCAAAATATACTCTAAACCCTAGTAAATTTAGCGCACATCAACCGAGAGAATTAAATTAAAACACTAAGATTAAAATAATACAGTGTGGAACTAATTGTCACAAATGTGTGTTGATTTTCATATAACATTTCAGGCCTGATCGTATTTGTCTTTTAAATAGTCTTTTTCTCAAAGTATTGTTCCTTCATAAGAGCTTTTTACAGATTACTTTCGAGAATTCTTTTGCATCATTTCTTTCGTAACGTGCATGTTTTGTAAAATTACGATTTCTTTCCCATTATTAAGCGATCGATAATGTGATTCGAGAGAAATTCTCTACGCATGCGACATCTTGCCAATTACGGTTCTCCTCGAGCGTGGTTTCATTGTTCACTGTACGGAAAACAAAACAAAAATTCAGCAGAATTGCGGGAATTTCTCGAATCACTGGAGGCGGTGCTTGTAATGAACAAAAAGAAAGAAAGAAATAGGCTTTCTGACATACAATCAAAGGAAGTGAACAAACAAGAGTCAGTACGTTGTTCTCGTTGCGTGATCTTCTTCAGGTTCCCTTAAACTCTGTAGTCGATTCCGTAGAACGAACTCAAACCTCTCGGAAGTCTGACACTTTGGGAGAAAGAAGGCTCTTGGCTCTTCATTCTCTATTTCTAATTCCTTCAATTACAACGAACCTCTGTTGAACCACAATCGATCGTTTCGATCATTTTAATTTTATTTCATCTTACACACACACACACACACACACACACACACACACACACACACACACACACACACACACACACACACACACACACACACACACACACACACACACACACACACACACACACACACACACACACACACACACACACACACACACACACACACACACACACACACACACACACACACACACACACACACACACACACACACACACACACACACACACACACACACACACACACACACACACACACACACACACACACACACACACACACACACACACACACACACACACACACACACACACACACACACACACACACACACACACACACACACACACACACACACACACACACACACACACACACACACACACACACACACACACACACACACACACACACACACACACACACACACACACACACACACACACACACACACACACACACACACACACACACACACACACACACACACACACACACACACACACACACACACACACACACACACACACACACACACACACACACACACACACACACACACACACACACACACACACACACACACACACACACACACACACACACACACACACACACACACACGTATAGTTCGTACATCTCTATAACAATATTATTATTATATATAATATTATAAATCCCCACTATGACTTTTTCGACAGAACAGCGAGAAATAGCGTCAGAATTGACTAATTCCAGCGACCGTCCCGGTCCTCTCGGTCTACTTTCTGCGACGGAACTCTTCGATAACATTGCGATCGTTCTTCTGGAAGGCCTCGATACGTTTGAGAGAGCCTAATACCCCGACGCGTCGAAGGAAGGATTCTCCATTGTTAGTATCGTTTTATTCCGTGGCGAAATTCCCGCTCCGAGAATCGACCGGCGGTAGGTCGTTAACGAGAGTTGATGCGATAAAAATACAGCGTGTGCGAGCGCGTGCGTTCACCGCGCGCCGAAGAGCACGTATTCCGTGCCTGCTCTAACATGCCCCGGTGAACTCTGACTGTACTCTATTATCCTCTGGCATAGCTCGACGTATTCTGGCAAATTACGACGTGCTCCGGTAAACTCGGGCGTACTGAAACGTATTTTCTCTAGAGCAGCCTGGCATCCTCCTAGCCCACACTTTACACGCCATATTCTGCGGTTCTCTAACGCGCACTTTAGATCGTATTTCGTCCATCCTTTAGCGCTGTCCTTAAATCATATCCTGTTATTCTCTTCTCTTCCTTCCTTATTCCCCCCCCCCTCTTTCCCTCTCTCTTTCTCTTTCATCCCGACTGCGCACTGTCCTGCATATATAGGATATATTTTAGTATATCCCACCGTTTTCCTGGCGTATTTTGTCGCACTACACAGCTCACACCGCAAGTACTCGCCGCGACAGCATCGCATACTCTAGCGTACTTCAGCGTATACTCTCGTTAATTGCTCCGTACTCCACTGTGCTCAGCGTTACGTTGATTTATCCAGGATCATTCCGTCCTGTTCCCCCACCGTTGCGAAGGAAAGTGAAGGAAATATTCTCGGCAAAAAATAGGAAAGGGAAAATCGTGCGGGGGAAAGTGAAGGAAATACTCTCAGCGAAAAATACAGTTAGCGAAAATATAGTAGAACCTGATGGTTTGTATGGAAATCTTCAATTTAAATGTTCGTTAACGGTGCAAAAACCGAAATTATCTGGATACAAAATCGCATAAATAGTAGATTTATTCTATCGTATTGTAGGTGTGTGTGTGTGTGAATTAATTCCAGAGCGGATACTTTTGTCACCAAAAATCAAGATTTATGTATCTGATGGAAGGTGTACGATCTCTCAATTATCGAAATAATCCCCATTGTTACCCCGATGATTTACACACCATTTAAAAGTCCCGATTTTTTAGGGTCGATATCCCGCAATCGATTGATCAAGAGTTGGCCATCCTACTAATAACCGAGCGCGCTTGCGAGCAGAAACTGCTGCTTCAGCACCAACTAACCGTACACAGTATACGAAGTTCGTGCATTGTCCGACAGAGTTTAGTACTTTACAGCCGCGAAACACAGGTATGTCGGTTTACCATACCCATGTTCGTTTCGGTGCTTTTCTTCGACCGTATTAGTTTCAACAACATCGCTATTGAATCACGGTTTCCCCTATTACAGCGCTGTTAATCGACTCCATCAATGATGCAACGGCACCTTTTTCCCGTGTGAGCGAGCGAAACCCTCACCCGCGCGGTTTCCCGCGCGTAAAATCAGCGCGATTCGTCATTTCTCGCGGCGTTATTTCTGTCTTTTTGCGCATCCGCTCGTCCCTCGCACGGTGTACAAGCTCGACACGACTCGGCCGCTAAATCCCGACATGAAAATACGTCGCGCGATGATTAATGCCGATGAATCGATCACGCGTCGACCAATCGCGCGCACCGCACGGCGGCGGCGTCGGGATTCTCATCCGCGCCGCGAAAGCCACGCCGAATGTGAGTCTGTGCCACGGCAGACACGGGAATTCCATTTGGATTTATCAAGATCCGCGTCGTTTAATGCGCGGCTCTCCGGATAAATTCCTTGAGAGCTACCTGCGGCCTCCGCGGAGTGTGGCGTACTCTCTCCTGCGAGATCGTTTCCACGAAAAGAACGATCCCCCGCGCGGTCTGAAATGCGACTCTCGCTTAACATTCCGAGGGAACGACGACGGAGATTTGTGTTCATAATACCGCCGAATAACGCGCCGCATTTCCCGTGAAGGACGGTGCAATTATGGCGCAACATCTATCCCAGACCGGGCGCGGCGTAATGCAGTGATGTCGTCCTCGGACGCCGCGTTGTCCAGGAACCCACTTCAACGCGCACCCTGGACCGAAACTGCCCCCCCCCCCGCCTCTCACCGCCTGTCCTTTCCTCTCGACCCGCCGACCGATCAATCGATTCGCCAAGCTTTACGGACGCAGAGCGAGAGAGAGCGTGAAGCGCACTTTGGCGTCTGTGAAATTGACTAAATTTATCTCGACGCGTGTGAATCCATGTGTAATATCCAGCGGCTCGTTAGGATCGCTTCTAGCTTCACGCAGTTCTTGGCCGGCGAATAATAAATTTATACCGCTCATACGGTTCGAGCGGGAGGTCTAGCAGAAGGGAGGGGGAAGGGGAGGGCAGGAGGATATATCGAGATAAGGCGGATATACTTAGGCGCTGAGTGCCTCGGGTACTTGCTCATCTACTTACGCCACTGCTAAAACGGACGAGATCCTTCCTCGCAACTTCTGCGCGCGTATGCATACACAATACGTCCAATTTGTTTCTGCATTATCTCGCGCTTTGCGTTTAGCGGGTCGTCGCGAGGACGTCGTGTCCGTCGTGCATCTCGGCCGACGGACACGACGTCGACTCTCCGCGAGTGTTTCTCGTCACATCCCTCCGGTGTTTGTAACTCCGCGACGGTCGTCGTGCCGCGGCAATCACCGGTGACCGGTGCGATGGAATTACCGTGATTAACGCGTTGCCCACCGGGCTGACTTTCATTGATTGTACAAAAGCATAACTGAAAAGTGCACTGTGTAAACGTGATTTGAGATGCATGGAACTTTTGCCTTGCCTCATTGCCTCTTTGTTGACGGCACGAACAATTTGGTAGGGGCGATTGATTATATTTTACATGTTACTCAATAAGACACGGTGCATTGAGAGGAAAATGCGTGAATT